CAGTGATATGCTGATGCACTGCTGTTCATGAGCAACAGCGCCAATTCAGGAAGCAGCAAATGCAAGGCCAAGCCAGAAGATATCTGCTGCTGATGGAGGGCTGTAGGCAACTGCTGCTCAAAAAAAGCTTCCTTGTCCACATGGGTCTTGACGGGAAACGTCCGGATAAACGTCAGAAATTGGCAACAAGCATCGCCTAGCACACAGCACTCAGGCATCGGAATGGGCGACTTGCCTCCAACACCATTCTGTGCCAGAAAACAAACCAGCAAGAACTTGTCATCAGTACGAACATCATTCTGCAAATTAACAAGGAATTTCAAAACCGTTGTTTCGTTCGGCAGTGCAGCAGCTACGTTCATAAACGGCACGCCCCATGAAACTGGTGCTAACAGGTGCACAAAATATCGAGATCTTATGAAAATGCGACCAAACTGCTGTCGTTTATCTTGCTACTTTATGGCAACCGTATACATTGGCACAAACTCGCAAATAGCCAGAAATGTGAAATCATAGAGCGCGTGCCTGCGAAACATGCGTCTCCTCCATCAATCAGTTTGGAGAGTGGCGTTGCGCCGCCCCGTGAGTCAAGTATCTTCTGCATCAGCCGTTGTAAAGGAGGCTCCAGTCCATGCATTGCTTTGCGGAAAGATGTATCATTAATGCCCAGAGAAACACCGCATGAATTTCCACAAGTGCCACTACGCCGCAGAAGGCGAGCTGAATTATAGGGATCCCGGTGAATGTCTTGCCACCAGGCAAACAATGAGCACAGCCCCCACCTAAGGAACGCAATACAGGACAGCATACGCAGTAAGGCCATCAGTTGACTGTTCTTGATCGAGAGTGCAGCGCAGTCGCTGTTCAGCGAAGGCTTACTTTGGCAGATGTTTCTCAACAGTACCAACAGCCACGAAGACGCAAACGTGCATACCACAAGTGCTCCAGCAAGGCTCTGTTACATGTCATGCATCATTGCCTCCTGTGAGCGTGATGCACCGTGATGCAACTTTTCAATCCTGACCTGTCAAGAATGTCGGGCCGAGATCCTGATGAAGGCCTTGGTGGTTCCCATCCCTGAGATGCGCTGGCGCTGGAAAGAACTTCCGTGTAGAAGCTTGGCCAACTTACCTCCTCGAAAGGGCGTGTCAGTACAAACGAGCTTAGCTTCCACTTCCCTAAAGATAAAACAAAAGCTTACATATTCAGTACTTACTCTAGCGTCAAGGTCCAGTTCTGTCACTACACGAATAAGAAAATTCTAGACACTGATGAAACATTGACCCTATTCTGGAATTTTTCGGGCCAATGAAACACTGGATCGTACCTTGTCGCCTCGTAATGGGTTCCCCTGTTATTTTCAAGTCTTACCATGCGGAGTGACGAATACAGAAAAGGGGGAAACCTCTCCGTGGGCAAGCTTGCACTGGTCGTTCAGGAAGGAGAGGCCTTCTGCTAACTCGAGAAGGTTCCACAATGATTTCCATGCCAACTCAGCTGCAGCGGCGGCTGCAGCCTCTGCCTTACGTGTAGAGTCTGACAGTGTACCAATGATGCCACTGGGAGGGTCACTTGTTTGCTGACTTGTTTGCTGATGCGGTAGTGATGATGGGCGTTTAGCAGCTAAGTCTTGCTGCTGCTTTCGCAGCTGGATCAGATGCGCAACGTGGACAAGGGAAAAACAGCATTCCGTCACTATGTAAAGGGCATTGTTTGTTTCATAAGTGCCGAGCACCTTGAGTAGGTTGGGGTGAAGCAGTGTCTTGCATTTCGCGAGATGGTTTCTCGCCTGGTCGAATGCGCGCTGGGACACTGATCCGCTGACTCTGGAGAGGGGCGACTGCTGTTTGTCACGCTTCAGCGCAAATATAGACACCTGAGCCGCGCTACCAGGATTAAGCAAGGCATCCAAAATAGGGCGCTGCCCACTGGCGCCATCTACAGCACTATTGGGAGCAAGCTTTGTGCTGGTGGCAGAAAGCTGTACAAATCCACCAGGAAGCTCGAAGCTATAAGGTACCGCAGATCCCAGTGTATAGGGGAAGTTGGCGGGCAGATCCCCCCACGACGAGATGCTTTTCCACAGAGACTGCAGCATCGCCCCTGCTGCAGGTGATGGAGCGCCCGCAGTAATGGGACAGCCTCCAGCTCCGTGGAGCAGCCTTCCTGCAGCGATCCTATGGTGAACGCAAACAAAATATCATGTATCTCGATCGATCTGCACGCCGCACGATGCGACATTCGAACAAGCTCACTGTCTGCCTCGTGAATCATACACAGTGATACTGCTGCTGAGGGGCCCCCAGGGGCCCCCTCGGTAGCCAGGGGCCAGGAGTTGACAGGCCGCACTCATGTTCAGCCGAAATTTCTGGAAAAAAAAGGAAGTCCAGGTCAATAATTGACGCCAGCGGGGAAAGTTTGGTATTTCATCATATGATAGCGGCCCCTAACATCCCTGGAAAGACGAGAAGCCATTTTACAGACTGCAGTGGCTTACTATTCTCGCAAAAACAAGCTACGTAGGAGCAACATGGCTTATATATGTTACGAAGAATCTCTCTGTGACGCACAAGCAATCACCTCCTTTATCTTTTGTGGCACCAACGAAGGCGTTTAGTTGTGTGGTACGACTTTTGACAAGAATGTCACCCAGCTCGGCGGAGGCTCCCGCCTTTCGGATTACATTGCATGATGCATTGAAGACGCAACTACAAACTGCCTAAGCAAATTAGGGACCTGTAAACAAACTAGAGGCAATGGGAACGACATTTTAGAATCTCACGCAGCCGTCGGTTGTCCACCTACTGGAGCCACGTAAAGCCCAGGCCCAAGCCCCCTGCACAGGATGCAACTGGACAAGCTAGCATGAAGCAAGAAAGAGCCTCTTTATTAGCTAATGGATGAACGGGCCTGATTTGTTCCTATATGTGTGCTCTCACTATCATGACTGAGAAGCCTGTTGCACGTTCAAGAGTCAGGAACATGCGCAAAGTTGCTAACTATCAGGATCAGGTATTAGACGCCGTTACTATTGTTTGTGACAACTAACTCCCGTGTATCCAACCAACTCCAGTGATGCTATGGGGGGCCGAGTAGTTCTCTGCGCTTGATCTTGAAGTGGGCTTTCACCGAATTCGCACGGCTAACGAAACGTTGCATAACACTGCACTTCGCCCAATCTTGGGGCTTTTCGAGTACAAGGTTGTGCAGCTTCAGCGGTTCCCCTGCTGCCTTTGAAGCTAGTACTTACACTCATCTACAACCTTTGCTTGGCTAGGCTATCACTGCCCAGCTTGACGACGCCTTGATGTCCAGCTCAGGTCTTCCCTTATATGTTAAACTTCTGAAGAAGGTGCTTAGCATCTTCGTCAAACATCGACTATATCTCAAGTCCTGCAAGCTCATCTTTGCTAAACAGAAGCTCACCTCGGCTACATAATCAGCTCTAAGGGTAGAAAGCCTGTCGCCGACAGGCAACACGTTATTGGGGCGTGGCCAGCGCCGCTGCCTAAACACACACGCTTACACCAACTTCCCCTTACTATGAGCAACTTCCGCATGTTCATGGGTCCCGACTGTGCGGGCGCTGCTCGTCCGGCTGGCCGCATTTTTCTAGATAATACGTCGCGCTAAATACGCTACGACGATCAAGCAGGAAGCCTGTTACTGCAGCCGCCATCCTTACCTTAGGCGGGAATCTCCTAACGGGCTTCTCCAGGTGGTAATCTAGGCGGATACACTACTCCTTCAGCCTCAGATGCAGCATGCAAAAAATTAATTGATTTACTAGATCTATTTTGGGATCCCCTTGCAGTCTTTTCAGTCGTGCAATGTGGCTTCCCCTGTCCATACCTCGCCTGTAGGGCGGGGTCTGTTGTGCCCCATTAGTCAAACCAATGCACCGACCAAGAACTTTTCCAGTTACAACAGTGCATTGTAGACTTTCCGTCACGCTACATCAGCTTTCGTTGGTAAAATTTGTGTCAGCCTTCACACTAAACAGCGTACTAAGGCATATGTGCTGAAAACCTAATCTTTTTTTGTTGTCCTATACCCGCAGAAGCCCGCCCAGATCTCTGCCAATGTGAACGCTCCTCTTCCAGTTCTGCAGATCTGACCTGACATGGCAGTAAAAGGCGCCTAAATTTTGCTCTTTTTAGGACAGCGCTTCGGTTCCCTGGAAGGCTGGTGATAGTCTCCAAAGCTGCTGCAGCTCCAAATCAGCGCCATGTGGGTCAAAAGAACACTAACGTTACGGTGATGGAATCAAGCTCTGCATCTGGAACAAATGAAGCAGTAAGATTAACGAGTCATGAAGACGCAGTGCAACCATTGCCGCGTTCCAGAATCGGTAGAAGCAGGCGCCACTGTCAACTATTATAATGTGCACGAAGCATCTGGAGGAAGTGGTGTTATTGTTTTGATCCGTCATTACGGAAGTTCCGCTTCTACCAAAAGTAGTCAAGGAGCCAACGACCACCCCACATCAGGCAACGACTTGCGTGATTTTGGAAGGTAAATCCTTGTGGCATTCAACCAGAATTCTTCCTTCTCCACATTTTTCACGCTGTGAGAATTAGAATTTGCACATGCGTGCATCTTTCAATGCACTTTGCTAAGGGGGCCATGGGCCACTAGCCTTGAACAACCCCACCATGAGTGGGTCCCCTCCCAGAGCTGCTACCAGCGATATTCCTCGAAACGATCTGAACAGGAAATTCCGGAAATATATTTTCGTTGAGCCGATGCTTCTGCGAACTTATTATGCACTGCACTCCAGAGTAACGGCAGAATCATCACGTCCGTGTCTCCTTGCCTTGAAATGACGTACGCGTCGGCATACAATGGATGGCTTTCTGAACTTACACATAGTGGGATTCGATGTAAGGAGGAAATTGAAATTGTTCAAGGTCGAGAGTCGCCCATGGAATGACGACGCGATGCTTGCACAGTGCATTTTCCTCTGCTAGACCGAATTGTGTCACAAGGTTCCATCTGCAATGCGACACCCGCACTTAGATGGAGGGCAATCGCCAGTCCAGAATGACAAGGCGGCGTGTTTCTCCGCTCTTGTACGATGTAGTGTCGAGGAGGCAGAACAATGGCTCTCTCGCAGCTGCGGCTCCATGGAAGCAGCTTTGGATGAATATCTCACCAGACAGAGATCTTTGAAGCGACAGAAGGCATCTTCAGACTCACCACGCCCAGAGGGCCTCCCAGAGTTTGCGTCGCGAAGAGATGAACATATCACCCAGAATCAATTAAAGGCCGGGACGCCGAAAGCTGAAGCCTTTAGTAAGAGAAATATGAACTCGGCTTTGAGAAACGGAGCTGCATCAAGTCCTGAAGCAGCTACTCGAAGCCAAGTAGTTGTGATAGACCTAGCCAATGAAACGGAAGATGAGGATGCAACAGCAGCTGATGAACCTCTCAGATGCAGTCCGAGCGCCTCGCCTGGTGAGGTACTTTTTTGAGCGAGATGCCGTGGGAAATGGAAAGGAATAAGAATAAAATAGATTTGCTGTTCGCTGACTCAGTGTTAATGATATGCATGAGACTATTGGTAGGTATTTTTGGCCCGCTGCGCCTAAAGTGCACAATTTGTTGATGTTCTCCCTGCGCAGGCAAGTCGGAGAGGAAAAACTACGACATTGCTAACTTGGCACCGTCTGTTTCCTTCAATGAGCATCTCGCCCCTGATGTTAACAGTCTTCCTAGCGATTTTTCGTTCTTTTTGGGGGAATGTGTGGCGAGCGGCACAGTCACGAGTGGCACAATCAGCAAGCTGAGCCTCACAGTGAGCCCTTGGATCGTTTAACAGATTTTCCTTCCCACACATGCATATTGAAGCAGAAGTTTCTCTTCACTCTTCGCAGTGATGGCAGCAAACTGAAGAGACCAACAACGGCTCCACTCGATTATTATTTGGGCTGAACAAGACAGGCAGCATGCCGATGCTCTTTTGTGTCAGGACCCCTTGAGTTTGATGGTGGAGATGCGACTGCCACATACACAAAAAGTGGGGGCGCAACAAGCCTTCCGCAAGGTCAAAGCATCGAATAGAGGCTACAGAATTGTATATATACACCTTGACGACCCGGTCCTCCTGGAACACCAGAAACATCTGGTACAGCCGGAACTCCGCGCTCGAGACCCCCGGGTGTACCCACACACGGGAGCCCTTCCATCAGATGCATTGCAGGGACTTACAGGAGGATCAGGCTCTCGGGTATGTAGCCCGCTTGTGGGGCTAGATTTTCATAATCTGTTGTCTAGTATATCTGAGCAGACGACTTTCCTGCGCCTTCTGATCGACGGGCGGGAGGCTGCACGTTTTGACCGAGAAGTGGCCAGCTCCTTGGCCGCTTTGTTATTAGTGGGAGCCGTAAAAGTAAGGCTGTAATGCCACTGCATATGCTGGCCTGTGCTGTTGTTCCTTCTGTAAATTCCGTTTATCATCAGTACATATGGGGACAGGAGACACTGGTTAACTGTTGACCTGTTTGTGGGACCCTTCAGGCCAATGTGTGCTGGCTGCCAGACAGACTTCCTCCCCGCCGCCTCGCAGTTAACAGCAGTATTGCTGTTCGAATGACTGTGCAGATGACCGTGCAGGCACTACGTCTGAGTGCGCTTATGCAAAGGTACTAATGGCTGTAGATTCCATCTTCCTGGCTATAGAGGCCTCCCATTGCACTTCGTAGTTCGCAGGAGCCTCTCGTGTACACATCTTCAGTTAAGCTCATCGCTTAGTCTTCAGTGGAGGAATAAGGTGGCTTTGTCACGTTTCTGTTCTCTCGGCGCAGAGGAGATTCATGCCTAAATCAAGTTCTCTTCCCAGCTCTTATGGGACAGGCACTTTCGGCACTCATACGACTTGTGGACTTGCAGCCTGTAGGCGCCTCTCCAACACCTCGAGAAAATGAAACAAAGGCAACTGTTGGTCCTACCGAAGACATGAAGCTCAGCGCGATTCTGGGAGATATCAGAGCACGCAGGAGAACCCGAGAACCTTGCCAAGGCGAAAGCGACACAGAAGAAGCAACAGAAAGCTGTATGGAAAATACCTCCTATGCAGCTGCGCAGGCGGAAGAGGGATGCGAGCAGAGCCATCAGGGCATCATGCTTGACAGTGATGACGATGAAGCTGCGGAGAAAAGCGGTGTCCTCTGCCAGTTGGTTTTGGGAGAGGGGGCCGTGGAAGATCACAAGCACCGTGAGAGAAAGCGTATACCCTGTCTGGGTGCTCTGTACCCTCCAGCGAGTGTTTTTGTTTCCCGTCTTCGCCCATATCAAGCCCAGGGCCTTTGGTGGATGCTGCGGTGCGAATCTGAGCAAAGCATCGACCTGGAAGATTCACAGGAAGAGCTTGACCCTCTGTGGAGGAAGTACATCCTTCCTTCCCGTACCGCCCATCAGCTTGCCGATGACTCAGTACAATGTGACCACCCGTTGCCCATGGTAACTACACGGCTCTCGAAAACTGCGGCTGTGTTCGTTCCGCGGTATCTTTACGTGAACACAAGCTCAGGCCTTGTTTCAATAGAGAAACCCAACACGACGGGTCGAGTGAAAGGTGGTATCCTAGCTGATTGCATGGGCTTAGGAAAGACTGTGCAGGTCCTTGCCCTCATTGCCGTCAGCTTGTTTCAAGAGAGAGACCCTAGGGGTGCTGCTGCATGGTTAGCAACATCAACATGCAATGCACGTGAAGAGGAAAGGCCGTCTTCGAAATCAGGCCATGCAAATCCCGTGAGAAGCCCAATTGAGCCCTCAGAAATTCAAACTGCGGGATCAGATACATCTCCAGCGTCGCCGCCTTTAGTGTGCAACGACTCCTTGGTCACTCCATCACCGGTCTCTGTAAGTTCTGACGGAGACATTGGAGGCAACAGTACAGATGAGCCTGCTACAAAGTTGAAGCGAAACAGTTTGCTGGCTCCGAATCCTCTAGTTTTGCAGCGCACGCTGAGGCGAGATAAAGAAAAACTGCTGCAGGGAGGGACGCTCATAGTCGTGCCTTTGTCGCTTATTGGGCAATGGCATTCAGAGGTGGAGAGGCACCTGGCAAGAGGAGTGGCGACAGTGTTGCAGTACTACGGCCCAGCTCGTCCACGCGATCCGAAAGTGCTTGCTGCACACACAATTGTTCTGACCAGCTACCAGACATTGGCTTCGGACTTTCGTCACCTAGCGAAACGCGCGTTTGTAGAGATGGCAGATAGGGATGGTGGTCCACAGGCAGCTTTGAAATCGGATTCAGGATGCGTTGCAGCGAGCCCCATAGCAAGCATCCGTTTTCGGCGGGTGATTCTGGACGAGGGTCACGCGATAAAGAACACGGCTTCTCTGGTCAACCGTGCATGCAATGCTGTCAAGGCGGATTCACGGTGACGCACCACAGTTGCCCCTGCAATGTGTCGGCTAGTTCGCATCAACTCAAAGACAACTCCTTAGCAACGCCACATGCGATTCTTCTGATTGTGAGGCCCATTGGTGTTTTTCAGTTGGATACTTACCGGGACACCACTGCAAAATGATCTTTGGGACGCTTTTGCCCTCGTTCAGTTCCTCCGTGTTTCTCCTATGGGCGACCGGCGTTGGTGGGAGGCGAAAGTGACTCAACCAATGGAAAAAGGTGTGACGATGCGTCTGGCAGACTGCGATACAGCGAATGGCCCGTCATACGTTATGCTAATGTTGGTAGGTGGCTTATGCTTTGCTGCAGGGATGGTGCGAGCGGCAATTGATACAGTGCGCAGCACCTTAGTTCCTTTGATGCTCCGACGGCAAGGAGATCAGGCAGGGGAAGATGGGAAACCACTTTTACCGCTCCCTCCGCTTACGGTTCATACATTTAAACTGCAACTTACCTATGAAGAGCGTCTTTTTTACCAGGTCGGTGGGCCTTCTCAGTGCTAGCTTCATCGCACTTCTAGTTTTTGCAATCGAAGGCTGTGTATGCAATTCGCAATCATGACTTCATTCTTGCTACGGGACTCCAGAGCGCTGACGCTAAATTGTTGGGCGTGCTCGTGTGGCCAGACTGTTTTCGAAGACACGAAGGCAAAGTTTGATCAGCTTGTGCAGAGTGGACAAGTCCTGCAGCATTACACGCATGTCCTCCAATTCCTCCTAAGACTGCGCCAGGCATGCAATCATCCGTTGCTTCCATCTTATCGTGAAGAACAACGACGCCAGCAGTTTATTGACACGGTACTCCCCGTTCAAGGAACTTCGGCATACCGCAGCAAAGACACTTTAACCGGACAGCCTCACATACCTTCGGTGAGACTGAACACGTTCCAGTTGTCGTGCGCTGACATAATTACTGTATAGGTATAACAATGTACAACGAAAGGTACTAGTTATTTTGAGTGTACGCTGAGTCAGCCACATTTGTTGCACGTCCTTGGATTTGCTTTCAAAGCGCTAGCTGCCACGCTTCAAAGGGCAATTTCTCTGTTTTTGCGCTGATTTGGTCTTGCCTTGGTACGTCACAGTCCTCCTATTCTTGTTCTGATCCGGTTTTAAGGAGGTACATTCAAGATGCCTTGGACGGCAAACTGGAAAATTGTCCGGTCTGCCATGAGCCGCCACGCGACGCAGTGGTGCTAACAACATGCTGGCATTTGCTATGTGTCAGCTGTCTGTCACTGCTGGAGAAAAGCAGCGACGGCACACCAGCTGCGTGCCCAACATGCAACAAGAAGTTTCTTAATCAGAACATCCGGCTGCTGCCAGCAGGGTCAAATGCCACTGTACAGAGGTGGAAGCAGGTCGTCCTAAGGAAGCATCGTGAGTTGATCGCAGCTGCTGAAGCTAAAAAGGTACCTAAAAACGACAGGAAGGAAGTTCAATCATCAGACGGGTCACATCTGAAACGGGGAATGTGTTTAGCACGTACTGCGTCTGGAGCGTTCCCTGTGGAAAGCCTGGACACGGCTTCAAAGGCACTTCGTGGAAAACCTGAAGAGCTTTTTCAGGATGTCCCTGACGATGCCTTCTTCTTTAGCACAAAAATACGGCTGCTTCTAGCGCTGCTTGAGGCTGATGTTGCGGCGGGAAGGTCCTGCGTCATTTTTTCTCAGTGGACATCAATGCTTGACCTCCTAGAGATGGCATTTGCACGTGCAGAGGCCGTTCGCGCCATTTCGCAAACTCATTTGTCGAATACCACAACAGAGGTGGACGCGGATGATGATGTTATTGAGATGGGTGTCACCTTCACGAGGACAGGGCCAGCAAAAACCGAAATTGGCGGCCTCCACACTAAGAAAGAAGGCGCACGTTTGGGATGCAAGCCTGAAGCTAGACGAAATGTTTCAGCCAACCGGTTGTACAACTACCGTCGAATTGATGGAACACTAGGCCTGGAGGCAAGACAGCGCGCAGTCAAGTGGTTCTTAGGTGGTGAGTCACCTCTGGGGACTACTGAGGACACGTCTACTGCAGATTTAACCGAGACTGAAGAGGGACCGTTTATGGGTCAATGCAGTCTGAAGCCCTTCAATTGCATGAACGGCTCAGCTGAGGCTTCACTTCGCGTAGCCACTCCTGCGTCATCCCGACGTGGCACTGAGAGAGCCTTGGGAGCCCAGACTGATTCTTCTTCCCCTCCAGGGCACGGAAAGATACTCTTGTTGTCTTTAAAGACAGGAAACGTAGGACTTAACCTTGTCAAAGCAACTCGCTGCTACATTGTCGATGGTTGGTGGAATCCTCAAGTGGAAAAACAGGCAATGCGGCGCCTCTGGCGGTATGGACAGGCAAGCTGCCTTCTCACATCTAGTCTTTTTAGCCTGCACATCGTCTTGCTTTAATAGTTTAAGTCTGCGCACCAGTTAGTTCAACATGGTGTACAATTTTGCTCCATGCGTCTAGATGCGAACTACGAGCTTCTCTTCCACAGTATCGGTGTGCGTCATCCTCTTGGTAAGCTGCCTTTTGGTACACGCGCTCGTGTGTTGTCAGGATCAACCTGTTTCAGTGTTTCGTTTTGTCTGTGCCCGGACGGTGGAGGAACGAATGGAAGAACTTATCGAGTGGAAAGGTCGCCTGTCACGTAGCACGCTCCGCTCTGGTGATGTGGAATGCTCGGCAGATATAGAAAGCGGAGATGAAGATAGCAGGCGAAGAGGAAGACTATCGCTACAGGATCTTAAAAAGCTTTTTGAAGGTTGGGATGCAGATTTGGCTATTCCCGAAGCCCCCTGCTATTAACATTTTGTCGTCCGCACATTCGGCAAACTCCTCTACAGATGCGTATCTCTGGGGTTTTTGCCGTTCAACCAGATGTTTTTAGCATGCTTTTAGGTCCTTCAAGGACTGAGTACTTCTCTCTGAGCATTCGGATGCTTCACGGTTAGCATTTCGGCAACTGTGGCGTACTTTACCTTCGCAAAGGCGTCACAAGCTAGCAAGCTAGTTACTGTGTAGTCCAGTACTTGCTTGATTTTAAGTGTTTGGCTACTGTGCAGAACCGTCCACGACTTGTTTCCTGTACTGGACAGACCTCCTGCTGCACATGAATTCGTTGTTTAAAATGCTATCCTCACGCAAGCAACGATCGAAGCAGATTCTTTAACAAGCAGCCAGCTCTGGAGAGAGCGCAAATTGCTTTGGCGCTTGGGGGAGATACTTGGGAAGGGCCACTCTACTTCGTGTTTTGTGTATTGTTGCTGATGCACAAGAGAATCTTCTCGAAATTTCGTGCAAGAACAAACTCTAGCAGAGTATACTTCCCATCAAGAGTTCAGTTGACTGCAGCAAATGAGGCGCCACTACGTCATTACAGAATAGGGTCAACAAGCTACCAATTGGGATATACAAAGGCAGTAGAGCAACGCTGCTCTCTGAGACGAAGGCAAATTCATCCTAAAGAAGTTTAGGCTACAGTCGAATGCAATGCTTTCACACTTCATTGGGCATCAGTACAGGCAATGTTCATGAAACGATGGTCTTAATGGACATTGTATGGGGTCGTTGGGAGTGAGATGGCGACGATAGGAAACTGGTTGGTCCTGCAAGCACCCATATATTTCTCTTATATTTCTCTTGACGATTGCGCCTTGCATTTCTAAGCAAAACCTTTTTTAGGGTTCAACTGCTAATGGCTCATTCATAAGAGCTAAAGTGTATTCAAAGGTTCCTTTTTATAGAGATAACCATGGTAGTTGTTTGGTTGATACATGCGAAGGGCTTTAATAGTTGTATGGCTAATACGTGCTCAAGGCTATCCCTAGGAGGGGCTCTTTTTATTAAACACAAAATTATCCAGCATATGTAGGGTCTTGGTGATTATATCGGCCAAGCGGATAGCAGGTGGCTCTGTAGTGACCCGTGATGGATCGCTCAGGTTGCTGGTTACTGGCCCATCAGCCATCGACGGTAACGTATTGGCCTCCTGTGGAGCTTGCGGGTAACGGCGAAGCAGGGGCCAACTGCGGTGAGGAAGCGTGGAAAACGGCTGCCACATCTAAGGAAGTCAGCAGGAGAGCAAATTACCTCATGAACACAGCTTCGAGGTAGTGACGAGAGATAACAATACTTCTATGCTTTGTAACGAAAATAATGGAAAGGAAGAACACTTCCTGAGTAGCAGTTCGAGTGGAAGTCGAGTAGCAAAAGCTGCAGTAATTGAGGCTCCTACAGAGTACATTAGATTCGTTGCAGTTAAACAATGTCGTAGTTTGACTTCTATCGTGCTCATCCGGCACCACTCGTACGAATGGGCACCTGATTTGCCCTCGGCTTAATTCCAGAAGCCGTCGGCGCCTAACTCCATGTGATGCTATTCATGAACTTCTATGTTGCGAAAAGTGGAGCGTTTCAAGCGGTATTGTCTCCCTGAATATTGCAGCAAAAATAAGTAGTTTGGTCTTCGGTTCTACTTCATTGGTTTGTAGGTCCAAGGCACTGTGCGATATTTGGATGCAGCCATTTGTAACTGTCACTGTAGAAATTCTTAAAATAGCCAAGCAAGAGCGACTACGAAAGCACTTGCCAAGAACAACTTTATCAATCACGAACGGCAGTAGGGGGAATGAAGAATATTATTTACTGTGGAGCAGTGAGTGGGTAGTTGTCATTTCTCATGTTTGCTCTCCGTGGGCAAACACGCGTTAGCTTCTCATTCTATCGCTTCATCACGGTCTTCCTCCTAGCGGTGTGTTACGGGGATGCTGGTATATCACGGTGAGGCCATTGGGCGTTCCTCGCTAAAACTACCTACACACAAGTGACCCCGGCTTACAGCTGACGACTTCAGTTTGAGACGAAATACTTCCTCTGTGGAACGATGGAATTACTGTACCTCACACTGAGCAGCTACTTACATATTCAAGCCACAAAAGGCTCTCTTAAGCTCCGCAAGTTCGTACCTGGTGCGGCAGGCCGCAAACAATATACTAAATTTTCCCTGCAAAATTTTGGAGAGTCGGCATTCCGGAACAGGAAGTTTCTTAATTGGCAGCAACTGCGATCTACAGCCACTAGAAAACGCGGTGGACAACCCGTACTCGGGGAAGGGTGGCTGCTGTCCCAGTGCAACGCGTATCCACTTGATTGGCTACTCAGGAGGGTTGAAACTGGTCACGCACCAATTCTAGAACGGGAGGAACCTTTAGAGAGCGCTACAATAAATAATGTAGTATCCGCTGATGGGTAACTTACTTACGGGGTTATTCCTGAATCTAGGTGTTGCGTGTGTGCAATCTTGGGAATTAATTGCGGGGTTATTCAGCCATAATTTGTTCTATTTTTAAAAATGTCGATGAGTGGCTTAGTATGCTGCATGCATGATTTTTCCTGTTGATATGGAACCATATGCATTTTGCAGGCTTCCTGGGGCCACTGTTGAGGCCCCAGCCCACAGCCACTCTTCGGGCTTCGAGCCTGCAAGCTGCTGCCGCTAACGGGTATCCCTTAAAGTTTAATACACTTCAGTTTGTATTTTGAAGTGTGCACATTTCTCTTATTGTACTCTATGTGCCACTGTCTTTAGGGGCCTCTATCTTTTGGTGCCTGCTCGGGCAAGACCTGCAAATGACCAATATCCAGCGGGCGAAAATATCACGAAACAGAGCTTTACATGGGAGCAGCTGGAGCTTCTTAAATGTGTCCATCGCTTCTCTCGAACCTCGACATTCCAAAGTGCCCTCTGCAACAGCGGCGCCGGCGGCTTCTGGTGTCGCCACGTTTACGAATCTGACTTCAATGGGAAAGCTCATAGTTTTCTCCGACAAAGGGGGGGACAGCTGTGCATAGCAGTGGAAGGGGGAAAACGGATTCAGCGTATTCCCCACCTCCACAGGGGAAGACATGGGGCGACCACTGCTTCTGCCGAGGATTCTCTACCGCTGCAGCTGCTGTATTCGAGATTCCAGCTGGAAGACAAATGAGCTATGGAATCGAACCAGCTACTCCCCTTGAATTCCCTAAAGAACTACTCTGGAGAAGTTCAACGAGAGGATTTACTTCGCCGCAGCCGACACTCAGGTTTGGTTGCCGGTCTCAACAGGGCTGTCCCGCAGTGCGATGATGAAAAACAGTATTGTACGGAAGCACAGAAAAATCCGGAACCGTTTCAGGAACTGCACGTGCCGAGAAAGACCCCACTTACGCAGCAGATACGTTCCGACGGGAAATGCATTTCAGGGGTATTCTCTGGCATGGAAAGAGCCCCCGTGCGTGCTAGGCCGCTGAACTGCTTCCATTCCACACTGAAAAATAGGGCACTGAAGCCACCGCAGTGCTGCACATCTGAAAGCCATAATTTGGGGGAAACTTTCTCTGGAGGGCCAGAGCAGTCTACAAGAGATTGTACCGATCATGGGGATGAGAGCAGCATGCCAACATGCCACAACACTTCAGGACACGGAAGCTCAGGTTTTCAGGAAGTCAACAGGTCACGACTGACCCACTGTAGCCTCAGGGCAGACTCAAGAACACCAGAACGAGCACCAGTGGGCGCGCCATCGGCACAGCACTGCAGTGCCAACTTCAGCCCTAACAAAGTAGAAAAATCCCCCGCTAAGCCACAGCGCAACTCGGTCGTGGTAAGCTGCTCAGATGGGCCAAGCCGATTTCCATGTGGCAGAATGGCTGGATCATGTGATTCCTGTTCGCCTCTCCCTGCTGCTTCTGTCGGTCATTCCCTCGCAGCCGCTCAGGGGGTTGGATCTGTCGGCACCATCTCTTCAGCAGCAGTGCAGGATGTTCAAAGGCCATCAGCGATATCCGCTGGTGGCACTAGGAGAAGTGCAGAAGCGCCAACGCCAGCATCACCGCTTTCAACAGAAGCAGCTGTATGTGCAGTTCCATCGATTTGGCCATCTGCGCAGTCTGTTCCATCTGCAGGACCACCAGGTCCAAAGTCATCACCAACAGCAATAGCAGCAGTTTCGGCAGGCAATGGGCCGTCAAAGAGACCGTTTCTGCAGCCAGTTGGAATTATTAGCTCGCCAAGGGTAACGCGCAGGCAGGCTTCCGCTGCAGCGCTTGCAGAAGTGGTGCGAATCGAAGACTCCTCTGACGAGGAGGGGCCTTCTTCCTTGATAAATCGGTCTGGAAACCCGAGCGGTTCTCCAGAGGAGGAGCTTGAAAACTGCAAGCGAATTCCCCAAACTACAAATGGCGAGAGTGTCAACTATTCTCCATCTGGACCGCACCAAGGGGTTCGCGCTGACGCTTCGCAGGAAACGGCTGCTTTCATTTTATTGGCAGCTGCCCTGGTTGGAGAGGATGGGCATTGCTGTTTGCTTAATCCTGAAACCCTACGCAGGGCTGCAGTGGAGCACGCAGTTGTGCAACAACACGAGCAGCAGCCGTGTATTGGTAAAAATGCGTCAGCAACACCAACGAAGGAGAACGACACAACAGAGCATGCACCCCAGGGAGACGGCAGCCTCACAAACTGCCTCCTGGTACTGCAAGTACGTCGTGAAGAGGCCGTCGTTTCGCTCGATCTGTGGAGGCCTCTGCCTCAGCCCTATTCGCCCTCGGCAAATGAGCAGAAAAACGATTGCAGCCACTCGTATGGCGAGACAATTGCACTGCCTGTTCAAGACCGACTGGAGAGGCTTCTTAACTTTCCCCAGCAGTCTATCTCCTTTTTAAAATGCCTGAAACTCTACGCTGGGACTTCTTGCCCAAGCTTCCTAAACATTGGACAGGGGGACAAGCAAGAAGGCTCGTGCAGATGCGCCTGTAGCAGTAGGAAGATTCGTCTCTGCCCTAACAAAAGCAGTAGTAAGTCTAGAGCAAGCCACGATGCGAAAGCAAAAGACAGGAGGCATACAAGAACATGCGCAAGGGAAGAAAATCCTCAGGAGAAGCATTTCGGCGAGGATTTTCCCAGAAACCGCAAGCCGTTTGTCCTCACTGGTGACACGGACGCGACGAATGTTCTTGCGCCAGATACGTTTAGTTCACCCGCTCGGGATGGTGCTGCTTCTGCTTCTCCCGGTGAATCACTTACTGACATGATGCAGCCTGCTCAATTGGCAGCTGGAGATCCATCTGCTACTAGAGGCTATCCGGATGCTACCACTACCGCAAGGACTGCTACCGGAATGGAAGCCACAGAATATAGAGAATCCAAAACGAGCAGTGAAGTTAGTTACAGAAGCTGTGATGATCGAGAAGCCACGGGAAAGGCAATCAGTAGTGGAACTGCTAGTGAGGAGCACAGACGACGAACCAAGAATAGAACCAACGACAAGCGAACAAAATCGGCCAACGATAGTAAAAAGAGCCAGAAGAGCAGAAGGGATCATGGAAGCTCTAGAAGAGAGGGACACTCTAGAAGATCAAGATCACCAAGGGGTGTTGCGACTGCCAAGACTAAATCGCAGCTTCCCCACTCCAGCCAAAAAGTATCAGCTGAGGAAAACAAGAAAGATGGGCATTTCGTCACTCCGCGGAATGCTCTCATTGTGACGGATGGGAAGCCTTTTCTAGGAGCGGAGCTCACTACAGGAGACGCCGAGCTGACACGCTTGAAGACGCACAAGCCGGCACAAGGCGATGCTGAGGTGGACTCCTGCAAGATGAAGGGAGACAAAGACAGTCGCAACAGTAGTGCCAACTTGCGCGTCACTAGTGTCACCTGTAAGAGTAACAGCAAGAAACGGCGGCAGCATTCGAGCAACGGGTCTGTCAAATCCAGCGCCTCTTGTTCCCTTGCCATCAACGAATGTAAAGAGTGCCACACAACGGGAGAAAAAGCGCCAAAAGAGCATCAACCAAGCAAAGAATTGCCCGGCGCGGGAACTTCGGCTTCCAAATCAAAGTGTTATTGCAGCCACGTATTCGACTGCAGGAAATGCCACAAGGCGTGCGCCCGTTGCATTTCCGCTGGAGCCACCCCTCACGTTCCTGTTCTCTATTTAGAACTTTGCAGTTCTGGTACACGGAGTCTGTACTGCAGTGAAATACTGCAAAGGGCATTGGAGCTCGACAGCGGACAGGCCTCTTGTGTTGCGTCGTCCGTCGAAAAAGGGCAACCTAGCGCAGAAGGTGCGCATGCGGTGGCATGTAGTGGCGGCGTCCCTGCTGTGTTGCCCACGGCCCACAGCACCGGCTCTAGATGTTGGAACCCTCATGCGGACGGTGGAAGAGGTGGGAGTAGCACCAGCAGCAAGAGTGGGGAAACGAGCAGCATTAGCAGCAGTGCTAGCAGCTCCACCTGCAGAGCCACCACTGCGTGTGCCGTCGATTGCAACAAAGAGGACAGCCGCCATCGTCGGTCATCGAGAAAGCTTCACGAGGTAAAGGACTGTGAGGCTGATAGCCGGCACCGGGCATCCAGCGGTGTCAAGCACAGCTCCGGATTATCATCCAGAACGAAGAGGGAGTGCAATAGCAGCTCACGGCGCGGCCACAAGTGCAGCAAAAGGCAGAAGAGACGACGGCATGGGCACTCACCAACATCTGAAACAGTAGTGGATGAGACATTCGAAAAGCTTTTGAGTTGCTCAGCGAACCAATCCGTGCTGGCGTGTAGCATCTGCCTCGATTGCTGCACAACCGGCTGCTGTAGTAATTCCACAACGAAGTCGCTTCTTGGCGCTTCCACTGTTGCCAAAGATACCAACAAAAACAAAGCCAGTGTGAAGCTTACAGCTGCCGGCGCCACCACTTTGGGAGCTGCTATTCAAGAGACCAGCAAAGGGTCCTTGCTGAAGGCAGAGGGGCCCTCCGTGGAAAAACAGACGACTGGAGATTTGTTAAGGGAGCCAATCGAGCAGCTTCCACAAAGAAAGGGCCCTTGGTTGCTCATATGTGTAGGTCCGTCACTGCAAGCTGCCCCCGCAAAAGAAAGCTTAAGTTCAACCTATGAGGGCAGAAAAGGCGCCCCTACTGAGCCGCATTCTGCGCAGAGTGACATGAAAGTGTCAGGTCCTGCAGGAAGCGGGGCCCACGGCAGCAGCACAGAGATAAAATTATTTGAAAGCGAATATCCTAGTGGCTGCAGGGGTGATTTGGAGTCGCTGTATAAGGTTATTCTTCCCTCAGACGTAGCAGCTCCCCCACTATATAATCTTGGAGGTCTAGAGTCAGCTGGCGATCCCGTGGACGTCGGAAATCTCTCCATGTTTTTTGCGAACTGCATTAGAAAACAGTCCGGCTCTCACGATCATGAAGACGACGCGCATTTCAAAGGGAATCGTTCCCAGAGAGTAACAGAACTTGTCCTTCGCATCTCAGAGGTGTTGCATGAGTTCGTCTTGAGGAGTATTGGGCCATGGAAAGCTATGCGCAGGAGCAGAAGCGCTATCTACAGCCTATCCTTAGAGGCTCTGGTGTCCTCGTGGAGAGCTAGGGATTTTCGGACGACTGAACATTTTTCGGAGCAGGGAGAGCGGGTAGACAGGAGGCATTTGCAGTCTGGGTCTGCTGCAGGCTTGGAGCCCAGTAGATCTGCGCCTTGCAAGGCAAATATTACGGGAGAAGTTTTCGCAGGACGAGCAGGCAAACGACTAGCAACAGCGGTCACCTCACCAGCCTTTGACTTACTTCTGGATGACAAGACTTTGCGGCGCCTTAGTGATAAGGAGTTCCTGGACGATACCATAATTGACTTTTGCCTTGGATTCATCGTTAACCATGTACGCTTGCACTTTTTCTTCTTAATTGAGTTGGCCAAGGAGACCGACTGCCATGTGCATGTGCTTTGTTAAACTTTAAAGTTGATCGCCTGGTGCGCTGGCATCAATTGCCACCTGTTGTGTGCCCCTACCCGCTCTTATGTCGAAGTTTTGCACTTGGCTGTCCTTTTGGGGCGTACGAGCAGGCGCTTCACATTTTGCCTTCCTGCTTTCCGCAGTTTCACGATATCTGTGCCCAACCATTTGTCGTGTGCTCCTCCTTGTTACACACACAGTTGTTACAGTCGTTACTTTGTTCCTGTTGTGTACGGTTGCAGATTTTGACGCCTCAGGAGAGGGTTCGTGTGCACATTTGCAATACTTTCTTTCTCTCCGCGCTCATGGGACAGAGATGTGAAATCGAGGCGCACAGCCGTCTGACTAGGTGGCTCAAAAAAGAAGTCACTCCCCTTCCGCGGAAGGACTTCATTTTTATTCCCGTTCATCACAAGCACCAGCACTGGAGCTTGGCGGTCGTCGTTTGTCCCTGGCGGGCTCTCAACCCAACGCAAAAGAGCGGAGGAGAGAAGGCTGTTAGGTCAGCTGCTGTAACTGTAAAGTGTAAGCCTGAAGCTAACAGGTCTGTAAGAAATTTCCAGCTGTCTTTCTCACCGGGCATGCATGCGCAGCAGGCTGGCGTAGAAAGGCCCGTCAGCAGTGCCCTAGCAGAAAAACTTGCACCACCGCCCGTTGTACAGCACCAAGCGGTCGAGTTACCTACCCCGTTAAAGACTCAGGGCCCTCACACACACAGAGGATGTCGCGCGAAGGCTCGACTGTTTTACGTTGACTCCATGGGCCTACGTAGCGTGTTTGATCGCAGTCGAGGCCGATTAAAGAGATTTTTACGACACGTAAGAAGAGACAGCCTAAGATAGTGACGACAGCATTCTCGCGGGATGAATGTGGAGGAGCGTGCACTTCGTCGCATCACCATCCAGGTTCATTTTGTTAAGTAGTGAAAACTGCTGAGTTTTCTGTAGGCTTTGCTACCCAGAGCTTGGGATGAGGTGACACCCAAGCTATGCTCTTTATGTGTTGAGTGTCCTGTAGGAATTCGAGCATCGCTGTGGGGGCGAGATGAACTGTGGGCAGGAGGTGGAATTATGCACAGAGAGCTGTTGTTGGCACGATGGCGTTAGCTGCACCTTGCACACTCCACGCCAACAGAATGGATATGACTGCGGCGTGTTTGTTGTTGAGTATGTTTATTTCCTGACGCGGAACCTCAACGCGATCGAGACGCTCCTGTTGGGACCGTCGCGCGATTTTCAGCCTCAGCAGCGCAGCTGTCGGGAGCAGACCCCCGACGCTACTGCTTCCTTTGTCCCTCATAACTGGTTTGTCCATCCTGGCACCAGAGTAGAGGCTGCGAACCACGGCAAAATGCTTGAGGCTACTCTAGGTTTCTACTGCCACTGCATGGACGTGGGGATCCCAAAGGAAATGCCCAGGGTTGTCAGCTCAGCTTCAGGGCTGGCTTCCAGTTTAAAAGTTCATTCAGCGGGGTTTGGGCAGATGCATACAGCGATGCACGGTTTTGCAGCCGCTGATACATCCAGGCAACAGGAATTGCGACAGCAGGCAGGTACTCGTCAATCACCACTGAACACTGCTCTGGCAGGTGCTTCCTTTGTTACTCGAACTCTCACCCCCCCGCCAGTAGAACTGGTTTGCCGTTCCATGATCCCCCCTGATGTGCCCCAGCTTCACGATGAAAAAGCTTCGGTAGGAGACGTCTGGAGGGCAAAGGATCAGTCCACCACATCAAAGCTGAGTTCAGCTGAGCCCGAATCGATGAGGCACTGGAAGGCGACTTTGGCATTTCAGGGCCCTCTTTGGGGTCCGCTAGCCCCTTCCATCAGCAAACGGCGGTCTGCACATACCAAATGGTTTTCACAGGCCCGTGTTACTGAAAGGTGAGATTGGAGAGCTTGAGCAGCTGCTTGGAGTTGATAGGGACCTTACTGTAAGGCATACGCTTGCACAGGGCGGAATATTTGGCTTGATTTGCGAGATTCTGCGTGTCGCAGGCGATCCCAGCTACACAAAATGCTCCTATTCATGCGGCAGAACGTCCTCTGGCAGGAGGATCCAAAGCTTGTTGCCCACCTAAAGTCTCTGTTTCTGGATATTGAGCGGTCTTGCCACTAAGTGCCAGTTTTGCGCAAATCTAGTTTCAAAGCATCTGTTTTGATTTCTTTTTGAAACAGCTTTTCTACCTAGTAGCTTCCTGTACCCTGCGTTGCTTCGTTACTTTAGCGGCAGCTCTTTCGTGTATGCATTCTCTACTAGCAATACAGTTTCGTGAGGCGGCTAGTAAAAATGTTTTTCAGCAATACCTAAGTGGAGAGTGTGGGGACATGACAATATTTTAAAGCCTGCTTGTTGGATACATCCACATGCAAGCCCAGAGGCAGTAGAGACATTGCTGCCGAACAACTCGCAGTGAAGCCTCACAACCGTTTCATAAAAACAGTGGAATCTCAAAACAATTAGCATTTTGTGGGTTTTCTTGTCTCATGAAGTATTATCTCGTCCCAGGAACGGATTAGGGGTAAAAAGGATGTCGCGTACATTCGTCATGAACGGACTTTTTAACGGTAGGAAGGAGCGCCCCTGGTTGTCCGGCAAAAAGCTCTTCGAGTTGACCTTCACCTTCCCAACGACTCCAGAAATGCGGCGTGGGAACGACAACTGAGACCCACGATTTAGGCATATATTGAGGAAGCATGCAGACAATATGAGGGTAACCGATGCATCCTATTCCCGCAGCCTGTCGCTGCATTTGAACGTGCTTCACTGCGAGCTCTTGAAAAGGTAAGTGTTGTGGCGAATGCCATCGCTGTGGCCATTGTTGCCACTGTGCAGCCCACTGTTGTGGCACTTGCTGTTGAGGCAGTTGCCCATCTACCAAGATGATTTGCACTGGGCTCTGTTGGTTGCTGTATCCAACCGGGCTATGTCGCTTTCGTAGAGAAGCACCGTGCAAACTTGAGCACTGGGCCTGCAAAGTGGTTACGCCAGGTCTCCACTGCCATGCTCTACTGCCTCCGAAACTGCGTTGGTTCACTGCACCGCATGTCGAAGCTGTGGCTGATGCACAAGAGTACTCGAGAACGCCCTGCCCAGGCTGGTAGGAGGCAGTACATGCCGATGCCTCAGTGCTATGAGTTGAAGATCCCGACGTAACTATTTCCGCAACTGGGATTTTACCTTCTGTTGTGTCAACAAAAGAGGAGTCGGTCTTTCCATCTATCCTTTCTTGCTTACGCTCCGAGCAAAGTTTAGACAAACAGCTCATTTGGAAGATCTTACATTCTGGCTGCTGCAACTTCGTTTGTACCTGAGTCCCGCTAACTTCCATTCTCACGAGCGACGACGAAGCCTCTTCAGAGGGATTGAGTCCTACCGACGGTATGCTGGCGGTGCTTTGCATCATCCCAAGGGCAGCCTGCTCTTGCTGTTGCTGGGGAGGGAGTCGTGTAGAATATGCTTTAATGCGAGAGTTTAGCTCAATACACTTGCTACTCGAAAGTCTCTTTTCCCTGTGTCCTTTTCTGTTTATGGCGGAAAGTTCTGAGGAACGCATGGCTTTTAAACCTTGCTGCCGAGTTTCTGTGCCTTCACGGAAATACAACCAGCTGGGGGCTACTTCGCCTCGGCAGCATGAGTTCTGTGAAGCACGCCAATTTTGAGTGGGAGGTGCTGCTTCTGTGTATACTAGCTTTTCAATCCCTTCGGCGTGACTAGCGTGTCGTGGGTGAGTACAAGGCGGTCCTCGGCATGTCGATGTGCATGCAGAACGGATACTTTTTTCTCCCGATTGTGTCTCCTTCACAACTAGGTGTTCGAGTTTCTCAACAGCCAGCGTTTCCGTAGGGAACATGGTGCAGCATAGCCCCGTTTTCCGAGATAGAATGGCATCTAGTCTTTCCATTTGATGTTGCAGCTCTCTCTGTAAATGGAGGGCCTCTCGAAGTTCTTCTGGGCTGTGACACGAAGCTCTGGGCAGCTGCTGCACTCACGCATTTCGGCACATGCTTGAAGCAAAACTGAAGAATTTGCTTTTCTGATTTTGTCAGACGCTTAGTACACTACATCGGTGGTCAACTGGAAGTACCCACCACCATCTTCAGGCCTTCTGCAGCTTTCTTCAGCCTGAATTTACATGCCCAGAACGCAGTGCCAGCAGCCACTGCCGTGATGCTAACGTTCTCGACGCTGTCTATCACGATGACCAACGGTCTGAAGTGTGTCCAGCAAGCGTATTTGTCTCACTCCTTTAAAAGTTCATGCTGCTTCAATAGAAACTGCTTCGTAGTGGTGGCGCCTATCTTGATTGGCCTCTCTCGGAGACAAGAAGCTCTCTGGGCAAAGTCGATTGCATGTAGCGACAGTTGAGTAGCGGTGCTTGCGGGGTTGATTGTCACCAACAGCACAATGCTTGCATCGCTGTGAAGGCTCCTCTGAAAAAATGCCACAACCATTAAATGTGTCGTTGCATGCGAAAGCCCATCTCACTCCAGTTACGCACAAGTGTTCAGAGCTTAAAATTAGTGGGCATCCGTCCAAATACTTCTGACTAAATCCCGCTGTTGCAGAAAGATAAAAGCAGTTTTGCGGTAAGTTGGGAGAAAGCGCAAACTCCTGTCAGACAGCGGCACCATATGCAAGCTTTTTGACACACCGCAAGAATGCGAGTGAGATTCGAATAGCGGTAGGGAATTGGGACGTCTGAACCCGCCATGCCCATGCCGTTTGTGTTGGCTGTGCCCTGCAGATTGCAGAGAGAGCAGGTAGCCATCAGCTGCTTGTTGGCTTATATAGGTATAGTCACTAGGAGACTTACTGTGTGCTAGCTGATAAGCGGCATTCTCACCACAGTCGTACCTCCCCACGTCTTCGTTCCTCTTGCTTAACGAGTGACCCAAAGCAGAGGCTGTAGATTAACGGAACAACAAATGGTCCAAGATGTAGAATAAGCAGGGGATCAAACGACATTTACACTATACAAGCCTACGCATCATTTCAGACAATCATACCTGAGGAAGAATAAGGACTTGTTGATTACTGTACTCTCGGCGCACCGAAGCTAAAACGAAGCACATTTGATCCCGTCACAACTGAATGTTCCGCCATGCGCATCTGCTGTTCATGAAGCAACCCTTTGCAGCCCATTCGCTTCCAACATTAGTAAGCTGCGCACCCAGCCCATATTAGCATTGCACCCAAGACGATGGAGGGCTCACCTTCTTCGTCCTGATGTCAGTTGCATCTTCTGGCTGACGGAGCAGAGCTGCAGGGCAGCGAGACATTCGCTCTGCTCCAGCAAGGTCCACAAGGGTGAGGGAGCTGCTACCAAGCTCAACTCGACTCAGCTGTCCCATGCACCACAAATCCGACCATACAACAAGCCGCGTAAAAACTGCAACGTGCGATCTGCAGAACCGTCAGTGGATTGCGCCCAAAAAAGATAAAAAATTACTGCTTTTCTGATAGACTGAGTGCTGACTGATGTGTGGCTATATACTCAGAGCTGCTTAGCAACAAGCGATGCAGGAGTAGGGCGAACATATGTCGAACCTAGATGAATTGCTATTATGGTCTGTAGAGGCCACCTTTCGTCTTTTCTCACACCTGTGGGCCCAGGTACAAAGAACACATCCTTGTTCTGCAGTTTTCCTTTTGTTAAGGCTGCCATCAGTCTGGTTCACTTCGAAAAAAGTGACAATGCTGCGATCTAACGCCTAGTCTTCCAAGCACCACGCTGCCCAGTCGCTCACTGACGCAGGATCTCAGTCAGTTCTTCACAGCTCATCACAGTCACTTCGCAGAGATTTTCCACATGAAATACTCCGGTGTGGGGAGTTTCTTTTACCTAAGGTTCCCCGCAAACCCAGCAACAAGCCGTTTTGACGCAGGAAGGCGCAGCTGGAGTTCTATGCAGCTTCACTTGACGGTTGCGGCGCTGCAAGTGTTTCTTATGTTCATACAAAATCATAACACTGCTTCATTGCTCCAATCCCGCCAATCCTAAAAGTAACGACTGTGTCTTACACACACGCATCTTGGGGGGTTTCATTCCGTTGCTTGAGTCTTCTTGCCGCAGCAAATCATGTACCTTTTCCAAATAGACCTCTACAATAGATACGCGGACTTCATAATGCTGAGTTAAAGAGAGCCACAAAAGAAGTGCATACAAGAAAGTACATAACACAAGTTTAAAAATTTATAAACGTCTAGGTGCGGACTGTTAACGAGAAGAAATTCCGCTTATCAAAGCAATAGTTTGGGGAATGCTAATGCAGTAGTCCAGCAGGCTAAAAATGGAGCCCAGGAGGGCTTCAAAAGGGGCTAGAGGGCTCACCAGGGTTGAGACACCTTCTGCACTGTGAAAATCTTGCCTCTCATGCTTTTCAATGAACCTGAAGATGTCTGAAAAGTAACCGGTGCTCCAGACGAGCCATCCTCACACCTATTCTCAAGTTGCAAGAGGAGAGCATCCAGCATGCGCGTCGTCTCACCTCTCATGGAACGCATGAGAATACCTTCATCGCATGCATCCCCGAAAACGCTGTATGATTTCCCGCTTCCTGTTTGGCCGTACGCTAGTAAGCAGCAATCAGTCCCTGAAGACGCACCACCACACCAGTACTTTCTCAGCACAGTGTATGTTCGGTCTTCCTAGACAAAATAATGATTATTTCAGGCAAATGGCATTTCAAGTAGTTGCTAGAAAGCAGCGCAGAAACTTGTAGACTGCAAGGCTACGAAATATTAGCAGATTCCCTTCTGAGGGAAACGCAGTGGGGATTAAGTGGGTTGCCAAAACAGGTCATTTCTCTTACCTTCAAGCACCTTCTGCACCAAAGGGAGCGCTGCCTGCTTGTATACAACTCCCGTGTCATCTGGAAAAGTATTCACACAGCAGTATGCTACTTTTCGTGGTGAATGCCCTTGCCACCAAGAGATAGGTTTCGAGCAAGGGACCAAAAGCCCCAGTTGCTAGCGTTTCCACAAAAGTGTTTGGTTTTTCTCTACACCACTCGCAGCTCTTTTGATTTGACGGACCGTGGGAATCGAAACAGCCGCTGAAGGACAGTCTGGGCATGCATCGCAACCTGCAAGACTCTTGCCCTTCAGGCCACGGCCTCAGGAACAGCTCCTTCTTATTTGGAGAGACTGTCCAAGCGCACTGTATCCCACGAGCTTCCTTAGCACAGTTTGGATACACAGTGGCTCGAATGGAGGAACTGCAGTACAATATGAACTTGGATTCTTTTCTATGTATCACTGGCATTGCTCATCGCTCTGCTAGTCGCCAACAGCATGGACAAGTACTTCAATATTTGTATTCAGTAGCTACACCACATGAGTAAAAACGATATTTTGTGTTTGCTGAATGCTAGTAGGGACTGGCTCAGACTTCTTCGGCGGATAACGGCCTCAGCCGGACAAAAACCTTGACACGTGACGACGGCTCTTCACATGTCATCTTCGTGCTGTGTCGTCACATGCGGAAATGATTCGATGCACACCGCCTGAAACCAACCAGCATTAGGTAAACTGGAGCGGAAACAGCTCAAAATTCCCTCAGCAAAGCCAGAAACGACCGGAAACATCACCAGCAGACAGCTTCCGCACCCTAGATTTATACTTGGGACAGTTTTATTTTCATGAACTATGATACCTGCCTTTTGAGCTTCATTAATTCCAACCCCCCACGCAGCTCCGGATTTCTTGCTAGAAGGCCCTATCTGGTTTACAACGCACCCCACGGCCTCATATACCGAGACCTGTGAGATGTGGCCCACTCTAGCACTTCAGATTTTGAGGCCTCTAATGTAAGAAAAACAACAGCATAAGCAAATAAGGGTAAATGAAGGCAGCAGTATTCCTGCCAGTGACCTCTGTGCAGTGACCTGCCGCTCACTTGATCGCGTCGGGCACTGATGACCCGCTGTACGAAGTAACCGAAATCGGCCCTCAATTCAGTAGAGGAGGACCATTCTACAGCATTATAAAGGCAGATGTAAAAAGCAGCTACACTGGTTTCCTTCTTCCTTCATGTAAATACTACCGAATTAGATGCCCGGGGCATCGGGTGCGTCTGGTCAGCCTCAACGTTATTTCCAGTAGGGTCACCTCCTTAAACTGCATCCACGGACAGTTCCAGGCCAATAAAAGAAAAGCAACCTCCTATGCAACAAAATTGAATCGCTTGTTGTAATGCTGAAGCTCTATCCTATGAACTGACTACCACTCCCGGTCACTCTGGCACACCCAACTAATAGTAGTGGCTGCACCAGACGAATAACTAAAGCTCAGCACCTTTCAGTCAGGTTGAGAACCTTTATCTACTCCAGAGCCATAGATTTTCGCTGGCTAGCAGTTATTCTGTCATCACTTCGTGAAACACTCCCAAAAGCTCCCGGATAACCAATTCCCATGGGTCACTCCCCACGAGCGAATTTTGCAGATAGCTTCTTCATGGCTAAGAAGCCTGGCATGAGACTCTACGACGCATCGCTGGGCGTTGTACAAACAGCACCATCCTCCACAATGAGCTGCGACCAAACAGTTCTTGCAACCCTCAAGCTTCCTGTCCCTCCGTTAGGGCACAATATACAGAAAGCTGATCGAAATTTGTTCTGCGCTTCATCCCACATGCATTATAAGACAGTCTCATGGAAAGTCTTTAAGTTAAATTTGTTGTTTCTGCATGGGTTGCGCCGTGATAACTGCTGCCACACAAAGTGCCAACGCTACGGAGGCAGACTCTTTACCTGCACAACTTTGACGCTAAAAAGTTTATATGCAGTCTAATAAAAGCAAATCGTGCTCTTTGAACAAGTAAGTGAACAGAAATGAGAACGAGAGCTGCAGTCATAATCCATTCAGGTTAAAGTGTTGTGCTTCGCCTGCTCCGGCAAAAAGGAGCAAGGCTTGCGTATGGAGGATTTATCAGCATAGTTTTGCATTCTTTCTAAATCCATTCCCCCTCAAATTCATGGAATTATTAGGCCAGATGGCTCCCACCCAACCTGCGTAGTGCACAGTTTTAATGCCCTGGTGCGGCAACGTCTGCACGTCAGTCACGCAACTTGTCGGCTGCGCGTATGCCTGGTTTAGTCATCATACGCATCAAGTAAATATCCCGTTGTCTCCCTACCGAGAAGCTTCCTGTATAGGTTGCTTACTGCGAGCAACATGCGGCGCCGCTACTGCAGTGGCGTCTGCGTAATATGCGTGTCTAGCTTTGCCACAGGAACTGGGACCTCAACATAACGCGGCACATAAATGGGTACGGGGACGTCAACATACGTTGGCGAAAGACGTGGAGCGGCGAAAACCTGGGGACGATTGTCAAAACAACTCACAATCCAAAAGTGATACCTAGGAAGTTTTCCCTTTGGAAACTGGACAGCGATGGCTGTCAACCAGCTAGATGCTCACAGGAGCCATTTCATAGACAGCATTAGGCAGTTAACTGTACTACGAGTAAGAAAGGGCGCTACTCAGCTGCGCAAACATACTGTTGTCGTAATTCGCTTCACTGGGACAGGCGTTGACATCATCGGCCCCCTTTCATCTGCTTGGCATAATTGCAGCGTGGTTGTTGGTCTCTCCTTTAAGCCTCTGGCTTGTAAAACATCCTTTCGGCTATTCTCCATTTGGTGTCCGTGGAAATTTGATCAGTTCGGCGAGTTCCGCTGATTCAAACTGCACGGTCGTAGAGACGCTGTCCTGAGATTAATAAGAGACGCTGAACACGAAAGATTCTCGATTGAAAACAGCCAGTAGCTCAAGAGCTCTGCCGACCTAGGGCTGTTTTCATCGCCTCCGCCTCCTCAAACTGCCAAGACAGTGGCGCATGAATCTGGAACTCTGGCAAAAAAGGATTTGGTGTTGTCTTTGGAGCTAAGTACGTGTCTTTTTGGAGCGTAAAGGGAAAAATTCGAGTAAATTTACCGAGGGTACAGCTTGGTGTGACAGCTTAATTGTTACTGGCAAGGCGACTTGGGCACGGTCATCGATAGGCGGGTAGTTAGCCGATGAAAGACTACTAGAACAGGCTGCGCTTCCGTGTTAAAGCGATAGAAACGGCGATGTGCCACAGATCTAGTCAGAAGTATTTGTGTAGGGAGGGACTGAATGAATGGAGGCGCAGTTTAGGAGAAGGTGATCGACGGAATTCACCGCCGTCGGGGCTGGAGAGACAGAGTTGTTTAGCGCGCTCAAATCGTTTGAATGATGCGTCTCCCCGCTTTCCGCATTGACATATTATTGGCCTGGAGTCCACGCGAAACAGCAAGAGACCAAGCTATAGTGGCTCTCACCCTGCGTTGTCGAGCTCTGCCATCCAGCCTTTCTCTGAAGCGACACTGGCGTTCGTTATTGCACTGGAAAACTACCTGAATTGCATTTCTGAGTCTTTTTTATGAGATATGTTTGCTTGTTTTTGCATGGCGCGCAAGAAGGAGCAAGTGCGACGCTGAATTCTCTGCTGTAACTAGTGACCGTGGTGTTGTGTTTGGTCAGGGATTAAACATCGTCGCTTAGCGTTTACTATCCCAAGAGTGGACAAGAAAAAACACGAAGAAAGGGGTTCCGGGCTCTTCCAGTCCACTGCTTTTACCCATTGCGTGTGGGAGTTAACTGCAGTTCGCTGGACCTAAATATTAAATATGAGCAAGCGGACCATTTATTGCACGTTCATACGAGACAGTACTCTGCACACTGTGAAACCTAAGTGCCTCTTGCCTCACTAAAATGAACAACTCAGGATCAATACAGCAGCTTAGTGTCCCAGGAAAGCGGCCACGTTGGACGCTGAACCCATACAGCTCAGCAAACCGCCTTCATGTGCACCTGCTTCAACAAAATTTTAGCTCCGCGGGTGGTGCTGACACCAACGTAACTGTTCCCCTTTCTTGGCTGAAACGAAGACGCTCTCCACGGCTGTGGAATTCGCAAGCTATTGAAGCAGCAGTGGCAACTGTCAGGTTGCGCGCGAGGCGCAACCACCAGCCTCTTGTAGCTACATCCTTTGCTGGAGAGACTTCTGTTTACTCAAGGCATCAAACCGATCCACCAAATTCGCACTTGTCAGCTGGAGGGTTCATTGTTGAGCCAGTGCCGGCTCCTCTCTTTTGTTCGCTTTCGGGATCACTGAAACTGGAGCCATTCCTCTACACAGACAGTGTGGAGCTTCCCAGCGAAGGCTCGAAAGAAGAAGGTAACAATGCAGTAGCTGAGAGGAAAGTGAAGACAGAGGGAGTTTATGCACAACGCAGCGTGGTAGTACTTGCAGATACCGTGCAGTCTAAGGTGAAGCTGCAGGAGTGACAAAGTAGCTGGATTTTCGGATCGTCAAGGGAAATTGTGGATTTGGAGTCAGCCTTTTGTAGGATATTAAAGCCAGCTTAGCATGCTGGGGTTGCCGGCCTCACGCCCCTCAAGTGGTTCATCTTTTTGAAGGAGCATTGAGCTGTTGAAGTCGCATATCTCTGTTTCGCACTACAATTGTTGAGCCAGTCAACCTGACCAGGATTCCGGCGAGCATTAAAAGTAACCCGCCCCCGCAATGTCTCAAGAAGAATTTCGTGGGTACGACGACTACATTTTCTTTCCCACAACTCATCCGTTTTTCCCTTTGCCAAGTACCTCGTAATTCTCCAGTCGTGGAGTTGCTGCAGTACTCTGCATTGTCCATTCCATGAACCGAAGCCCTGAGGGAGTAAAACCATACCATGGAGCGGAGCCACGCTGAAGCCTAGTTCCGGCCTATGTGGGTGCGTCGTGTGTGGAGGGAACGTTCTTTCTCCTAGTATTATGGAGCTTGTCTCCACATAAGCTGGTGTTCAACAGCTGAACATTGCGTCAGGCAAACTGGTCGTCCTCTGCATCTCCGAGCGTCCAGAGAAGCATGAGCATTGAATTCGACGCTAAGGTTGGGGCAGGCTTTCATGCTGTTCCGCTTATGCTTCCATCAGAGACGGTGCTTCGATTGGTTGCAACACGCCCTCATGTGGCTGCATTCATGCCATAAGCACGCACCCTGAGTTTTCTCGTGGCATTTGCCTGCCTTACCTGGGGCCTTGCTTGCAATTGCACAGACAGTTGTTGGCGTGAAGCCAGTGCGAAAAAGATGCCAACCAACGGTCATGTGGGTCTGTCACATTTTGGCTAGTGGATTGACTCCAGATTGCCTGGAGGGTGTTGGCATCGTCGGCAGCCGGGAAGAGATCCTGGACGTAGCTGGGATAGGCTTGTGTACAAGCGTGTCCACGTTTGTCACAACTGCCGCAGCATGTTCAGTATCGCACGGCGTATGCTCGGGCCCTCTGCTCAGTGATTGCCCCGTTTCGAACGGGTGCTTGGTGGACTCTACGGCTTGCGCTGATGCTTGTGGCTTGTTTGTTGCTGCTTCGTACAGCTGATTGCCTAACGTTGTACCCACAGGCTTCTTCCCCAGAGTCTCCAGGCTTTTGGTTCCATTTTTCTGAGATGGCAAAGAGTATGTCTTAGACAAGCGCGATGCAGATGAAACCCCTAAAACCTCAGTGAACTGCCTTACGCCTTCGTCTAAAACAGGAGCTGCCACAGACGACTTTGCAGCTTTGACTCTCGATGCTTTTCTCAACAAGTGTGGATTTTCCTCCTTAGCACCAAGAGACGCCTTATTTGAGCTTCCCGTTGGCAAGCTCTGCACATCACCTCCTCCGCAAATTTCTGCTGGACTTTCGGCTGAAAGGGCCGAGCTGTCCGCTCTTTGCTGTGTCGATCGGGCTTCAGGCTGAGAGGATTGTCCTTTCACGTCTAATGGCAAACAGGAGCTCTCCGTTTCGGAGAAAGATCGGCTATTCGTGCACTTGCGATGGTCCCAAAGTGAATGCTCCGGCTCGTTGTCCTGGCCAGCACGGACGTTGCCAAAGTTTTTTGATTGCTGGCCTAATTTGTCCGTCGATGCAAGGCTAAAATGCTGTTTTGGTGAAGTCCCATGCCCCTTAGATTCTGTCAAGGGGCCTGCCTTAGATCCTGTCAGAGCGAGTCCATCCACTTGTACTGAAGTTGACACTGGCAGAGAGCTCTTCGTGCCTATTACCGAAGTTGTGTTTGGATCCAACGATGCAGAGAAATCGTCGCTTTGAGTGTTTACGCTTTGCACGACAGGCGCGGAAGCACTGCCTAAAGATGAGGTTCCGCGGATCATGGAGTCGGTTTCATCAACTGCAAATTTCTTAGCAGCTGCTTCCATCAAAGTACCTGTCGTTTTAGTATGCAGTAAGCCTCCTGGTGTCCTGCCAGGTGCATTTGAGGGTGAACTAGTTTCAGCAGATTCGGCATTGTTCTTGTCTTTTCCTTTCACTGGATCGCTATGGACACGTACTAGAGCAGGCTCTGCACATCCTCTCATGTTGCCGGCTGACACCTTGCTCCTTTTTTTCTTCTTCTCAGCACGCCGTTCCAAAGGTGCTGGTGATCCGGTCTTTGTGAAAACGGGTGCTTCCGGAAGGCATGTAGTTGACGCTGCGCTCTGGGGAGTGCCCACCTGTGTATGTACCAGTGTGCCGCTGCGAACAGAGATTTTCGAAGCCTGTTTTCGACGGTCTTTAGGAGCTTTCCATTTCTCAGAAGCTGAAGCCGCTTCAAAACTATTTCCATCCGGGTGTCCTTGCAACTGTGCCTGACCTACGTCGCTTCCTTTCGTTTGAGACACTTCTGGCATCATATCAGCGTGTGTCTTTGCCTCGCTTGCTTTCACACCGATGTCGTTGCAAACCGCTTCAGCGGCCCCAGAGCTTGAATGCCCAATTATATCTTCTGATAAGAGAGCCCCATGGTCAAGAAGGAATAAGTAAACTGAGCAGGAAACCAAAAAGCGCCACTCAAGACATCTAAATTATGCATTCAGATTTCGGATCAACTAATACTTGGCCACTGTACAGCAAAGATGAGCTACAAGCTACCCTAGGAGTCACATGCTCCTTACCACTGCTGCCCGGATAGGTACAATCCAATGCGGTGTTACCAGAAGCACTGATGGCGTTAATATACTCTCTGCTACTGCGGCGTTGTATAATAAGGCTAATAATGCCCAGACAAGCCTGAAACAATGCGTCAGGAAATCAACAGCCTTTATGCGGAAATCGTTTTGGAGAGGTTGGTACCAGCATAAGACGCTGTACATAGTGTCGGTTGAGGTGAAACTGCACTGGGCTTTGTTTGGAAGCTGTGAAATTCTCAAAATAGCAGAAGGACGAAGCATTGAGGAGTAGATTTACATTTTTAGCGCACGCGATCATCAGCAGCGTCCAGGCACTAGGGTATGACCTTGCTTCCACGTCAGTGCCAGGGTCTGCCAGGAGATAATTTACAAGCCGTTCTTGCTGGTGAAGTAGACACAGCTGAGGGGTTGTAAAGATCTCTCCATAGCCCCTGATGCAAGGACAAAGAAAGGGAAAAGGGAGTGGCCCGATGATAAGCACCCGTAGTCTCATGGAAAGCCACAACAGCAATGATTTGGAGTTCGACAACTGGTCGCTAAGCTGCTGAAAAGCCAGAAATGTCTGCAGAAACGAGATACTTTTGCAGTCAATGCAGAATTATCTCCGGGTAACTGAACAACTTACGGCTGTTTGTAGGTACAGATGGGGATGTTCCAAAAGGCGCGATAGTTACGCAAACTCTCCAGGTCTCCTTCTGCGCGTTACACATTCAGCGCGTTGTAATGGAAATTATATGAATGAATGCCTCTGCCTCTCAGGTTCGGTTCCATTCATGCCGGCAAATCTGCCGGAGCCCTTGAGTCACATGCGTCATAGCCTCTCAAAAGCATAGTGGAGTAGTGCTAGAGAACTTCCAGATGTCAAGGCTCACTCACGTGTTACGGTGTCGTACAACTGCTGCCTGCTAGGCTGTTCTTCAACGAAGTGACGGTAGGGTGAGCACGGGCTGACGTAAAGATGCTTGGTACGGGGGTCCTGAGAAGGGAAAACTGACAAAGATGGACCCCTTGGACTACGTCTCCTGAAATCCCCCTATAATGACGGTATTTGCACTGCTTGGTCCCTACTGAGCATAGTGAGCTCACTCAAGTGGTGAAGATGAGCTACATTTTACCCAGAGCGCCGTAAAATGCGAATCAAAGCACTAATTCAGGTATAGTATCAAGCCGGGGAGTGCTCAGCCTCACCAAGAGGTTATCCATCTTCAAGGAAACGTTCAGGAGCTGCAGTAAATGAGGGATAATTGAGAAGGTCAGTACCCACGTAATCTGCTCACGGCGGCCTGCTTAGACACATCTCGATGGGCATGCAAGGAAAGGACCTTAATCTGCGGCGTTGCCTACACAACAGAGAAAATAAAAACTTTAAAAGTACGATTATGCTCCTAAAATGAAAAGGATGTGTACTGCTGACAAGTGTACATCGGTAACACTCAAGATGTGTTTTAGGCAGGGGGATAACACGATGGGCAATCGAGTTAGTTGCTACCATGACCGTCGCCGACAGTGATGCCCGTCCAGCGGCTCTGCTGCACACTAACCTTGAAAAAGAAGTAAACAGAACGTAGAAATACTTCACGAACGAGTGAAGTCTGGCTTAAATGCTTCAGCGTTACTTCTTGATAGTCACCTATACAGAAGCAGCAGACAGGCCACCAACTTTGTCGCTCGCTGCTGCAGGGCATTGGCTTTGAGCTTGTTACCTGCTGAAGGAAATAAACAGCTTTGCATTATGCAAAAAAATTGGGTTTCCCACGTTTTTTTCCATGAAGGTGTGGAGGATCGCCAAAAATGTATTCAATTCGCTGTTCCAACCAGCTGGGGACACACTGGGCTCGCAGGAGATAAAACTGTCCCTCACCAAAACAAGAAGGGTATGGATGAATCACTACGTCAGGAAGAGGCATCCTTGCGTATAGAAATGAACGAGGTTTAGTCCGTTGGTTTTGGCCGTAAGCTCTAAACACTCCGATACCTTCAACGGGATGGGCCAATTGCTTAAGCCATCGTACGAACAGGAGCAGAAGTACACTGCCAAGACAAAAACGAAAAAAACAACAACTGATGTGTGTGAAGATTTAAGACCCAACTAGAGTGCGACAGCTCACACTCCCACAGTCTCCGTTTCTTCACTCGGATGCGACAGTAATCACTTGGCTTCGGCATCTTCCATTCGGTTGCGGGCTTTGGGCAAGCAATCCGTCTATGGATCATCATGGTTGAGAAATCACTGTAGCATCCGAATTACTGTGGACGGTGCACTTCAGCAGAGGAGAAGGTCTAGATGTCTCTTAGGCTCTACAAGGCATCGCAAGCCTACTTTAGAGCTTCGCGACTCGAAATTTTGCAAGTAAAAAGTGTTGCTAAAAGAAAGATGAGAATAAGAACGCGGTTTCACAAAAATTGTCGCTCGAAGAAGTCTCGTGTACCCCACAGTGGCGTTATGCGGCAAGCGCCACCCCACCATTTCAACAGCTGCTAGCCAAGGCCAAGTCTCATCACCAGGGCTAGAGAAGAAAGCCAGCCCTCCCCAATAATGTTGTAGCTCCAGAGAGAAGACAAACTGAGTCACATGCTTGAGGGGCCGTCAATAATTTTTGTGTTCATAGAGGAGCGCACACAACTGAATGCAAACGGCAGGCTGAAGTCTATCCCAAAAGCAAATCTGAGATGCGAAATGGAACCAGCCAGTTGGAATTAGAGTGTCACTGCAGTGACGGTAAGGAGGACGCCTTATCCAAGAGGAATCATACGTAAGACCAAAGCGCCGTCTCCAAAGAGTATAAGTGAAACATGATACACGCGTTGCAAAATTTCGAAAACAGAAGTTTATCCTTCAAAAGGTTCCCTTTTTTCCTTCCTTCCCGTCCAATGTGCAGTATTACTGTCTGTCCCTACGACTTCCGTTTTTCCTTCTAAGCCGTTTAGCCCGAGTATGGTTCTTGCTCTCCTTTTGGTTTGGTTCGTTGGGAGTTTTCTTAGATTCGTGAGAAGCAACGCAAAAAATTCTGCTGAATGCTCATTCTCCATTGGAGACGCACCTGTCATGTGCGGCTGCTATTCGCGGCCGGAAATGCCTTTCAGTTGCAGGTAAAGTGACATTAACCAGAAAAGGGAGTTGCAGTTCCAGCCAGAATCTTGGTTGCTCTGTCATCAAGGAATGAAGAAAGTTTTTCCGTTCTAGTTGACTTCTTCAAATCCCTCAGTAGGCTTGATTCCCACTCCCTTATATCGTTGCTGCGGTTCATGCGTTTACCTGCTGCTGCTCGTGCTTGTTTTGCAAAGGCACCACCGCTGCGAAGCAGGAACTTTATTTCGCAGCAACGCTGAGATGAATATTACAGTGTACTGGTAAGGTACGGAGTCCAAATTAGAAGGGCAGTTATACTGGGCCGTTACTTACCCCAGCAGCTGCAACGCACTCGCGCTGCGCCGGCGTGTCATCTGAAGACGCAGCTTGCCATTCTAATGTGCGTGGTAAGCGCGGCGTGGATATTTTTACTTCCATAGCTGCCCACTCCAACGCAAATACATCTAACTTCAAAACTGATTTCCACCTTCCGAGCCGAGAAACGCCAGCCGTTCCGCGACGCTTCATGTTGCGTCTTCATAGAGCAACGTTCCAGGCCCGTGCCCCCTTGTCATCTACGTTTTAAGCTTTTCTTACTGTTGCAAGCTAGTAAGACTGAGCCCATTAGGGGACTTATATGTGCAACATGGAAAGGAACGAACCTTCCTTGACGCTGAAGACTTCCGCGCCACACTTGGAGACGGCAACATACGCACGTGACCCTAGCACCACAGAGAGCCAACTTGGGAACTTTTCGCGCGACCGTAGTGTTATCCATTCATGAACAAGCTGTCATGGTTCTCTTGGAGAAGGCAAAATTGGCAAAAAGTAACCACAGATCCCAGTACACATGAAGGTAACTGACACAGGCCACTGCCGCCCCGCTCCACACTAAGCTGCATATAGTCCTTGTTATTAATATGGCTAGTGAGTAAAGAAGGCAGAATGGATTGGTTTCGTGTGTTTTTGTATCTTAGCCCATTCCATGATGCTGCTAGCGCAACAGTTCCAACTTCCGCAGGGGTTCCCGCTTTCTGGCTCACCGTACGTGGAGCATGCCACACATTAAGGAAGATTTACTTACAAACTTATGTGGAGTCAGCAAAAAATAGACAACAACTGCAAATTAACCATCTTCCTGCTGCCAAGTAGTGCATTTGGGTCCAGTGGTTCGACCTGCAGCGTTGGCTCACAGTTGCGGGCTCCCCATCGACCATCGCAGCTACTGTCAGCAGGGTCTCCAACCACTTGAGCATAGTCGCTTTCTAGGCAAACTGCATGTTAAAGCTGTGAAGTAAATAGTCTTTAAGCAAAAGCGAAGAAGCAAGAGCTCAGGGAACAGTGGACTGGCTCGACTGGGTGGCAGCAGACTGCTTCCGATAATCGAAGCCATTCGACTCAGCACAAATTCGCTGAGGACACTATTCTCCCGGCGCACGAGCGTACGTTTACACCAGCTGGAACCAGAGCCTGCCTCATCCACCAAAAGCGCGGGACAGTTAGAACAAGATCCGGCAATCCCCATGTCATCGCAGGCGTAACAGCTGATCAGAGCCTTTCTGGGGCGTGTAACTATTGCTACCTTCTCTCGGTGCCTGGACATAGGCTTAGGTTTTGCCTATCGATTCTTCTTAGGCCATTTTCACCCCAACCCCTGCTAGAAGATAGTACCTCTTCATCGCCATTTTGCGATTTCAGACCATCCCCTGAGCGGCTGCGTCTGCGGCGAGTGTCAAGATGGCGACCTTTCACATAGAGAAGTCAGTCATAGCCAGTAAGCTGTGCAGCCCATGACGTTATTGGGACTACCCTATTCGAACACCCGCAGCTGCCGGTAGATGGGGGGGCGCCTCTTTAGACCCATGAAGTGCAGCCAGACATTAGTGAGAAATGTAACGTTGTTCGTTTTAAATGCCTCGTACATCCAATGGCAACATTTCGGAGGAAGAAGGGCCCCTGAGATCGACTGGTGTTCAACGAAAGCACTCCCCAGTATGCAGTAGGCTGTTAATGCGACTCTGACTCGATGAAGTTTCTTCAACGAGCACTGTGGCTGCTTCTTGTCTGCATATTTCACAGACGGCTCCTTGGGGACTGTGAAGGCTATGAAACGTTACTGGAATCAGCCGGTGTCCGACATGAATGATGAGTAAGATCAGCTGCTACGCCGAGCATTTAAGAGCACCAATCGCATATCTTAAAATTTCTAGATTAGCTAAACCCGACACGCCATTCGCACTTTGCCCTCCTTCTGTACAATCAGTTTACCGACGGGAGTGCCTGATATATGCAATGTTTCTCTCCATGCTTTTTTGCTGTGTTGTGCTTTTCAGATCGAACGCGTCAAAATATACGCTGCTGCAGATGGCGCTGATGCTACAAAAGAAAAAAGTCGTCGAATACCTCCTTCCACAACAAGATCTTGACCTGAACACAAAGGCCACAGATGGCACCACAGCTTTGATGACTGCATGCGACCAACAGGCAAGGGCCAACAGCTCCATTTCCTGTGTCCTGCTTTGAATGTGTGGCTCATTTAAATGCCCATAAATAATGCGTGCCATAGTCTCCGGTTGACTGCATGCGGCGTTTCAGGTCCCCGAGGACTGGGTCCAGGCAATGCTAGAGAGAGGAGCCAACAAAAGCATCAATGACGAAGACAATGAAGGCCGCACTGCTCTGGACCGTTGCGAAAAAGGATCTCCACGTACGGCTTAGATCCCCAGTTTTCGTTGATGCCTTACGTATGTGGGTCGTGATCTCGTGCACTGCTCCTCGGGCCTATATTGCTCTCCGCTCTCCGTCAACGTAGTAGCGTGCCGCAGAGTATTCGTGGCCTCTTTGGGGTCCATCATTTGCTGCTTCAACTGCGCTTCAGTCTACTTGTTGTTGCTTAAATACGGAGCAAAGCCGCGCCCTGAGAAGCCACCAACGCCTCCCCCAGAGCCTGAGGTTACAGTTGCTGCAAGCAACCCACCAGCGAGCACAGATTCGGAAGCAACGAAAGAGACAGTGCGCTTCCACCAGTGCCGTTAGTGCACCCCTAGCTCAAAACGGGAGGTAGCTTGCCTTAGAAACTGTAATGAAGGGACGTCAAGGGTAGAGGAAGAACAAATTGCCACGTTCCCATAAGTCTAAAGAATGTCAGTAAAGTGGCATATCCAGGTGCAGCCTGGCGGTAGATAGTCAAGCTGACTCTTTAGTGGCCACTGGTGGAATCAATAGCGACTAACTGCAATATCCGTAGTGTCACATGCCCGTGTGTGCGCAGCCGGAAATAGTAATGGCCGACGACGTCCCTGGCTTGGTGAGTGATTTCTCAGGTGCATCTGACCAGGTTTTGCTGTGCCCGTAGTGGGCCGAAGATACCGAAGACGTCGCCTATGTGCTTGCTTTTATTTTCAGGAACAGCACCCCGGTTTCTGGGGCTCTATGTGTGGCTGTGGTGGTCGCTCACATAAGACTGAGGCAGTGCCTGTTTTCAAGGCCTAGCAGCTAGCGCTTGTTGCTGCTATTCGTCGGTAAATCACATGCGGCACGGAAAGCGGTCTGGCACTCTGACAGTCTTGCCAAGACTCAGTTCCGTTCCCTGTAGAATGTTCCAAGTCGGCGCGGCATCTCTTTTTAGAGGCGCCACTTCGGGGATTTGATGAGTTTGCAGTTTAGGGGTCGATGGCACGACGAACGTAGACCCAGCATATTCCCTGCGGCTGTTTCAAAGGTAACCCTTGGCTTCCATTTCTTTTGGCGTAGTGCGAAGATGCGGCTGTGCCATTCGCCGTCCTCCGTGCGGTACACGGGGAGGCCATTTTGCTGGTATACGGAGAGGCCATTTCGCAGTTATCCACGAAAGTGTTTTTTCCCTACCCATCTCTATCCTCTGTACATTTTTACTAACGCAGACTAAATTTGGCAGGATTTTTCAAATATACAGAGCTTCCTGGGAAGGTTGGTGACTGGATGGGTAAATCTTGGGATCACCCAGCCAAGCACAACAAAGCTAACGAGAGGCTACGTTCGGCGTTCCGTGTAAATCGCAGCTGCTACGCACAGTGCCCATCAGTCTAGACACGCAGATGCAGGAGCTCTTCAACTTCGCTCACTGACCGAGGCACAACCTGAAAAAGCATGGGCATCACCTTCCACACAAAACGTGGGCATCACCCTTCACCCCAGTTCAAGCCCACAAGAAAGGATCAGTCCATGTACCCTGGCGTAGGTGCCGTCGAAACAAACTGGAGTAGGTCTATGAAACGTTTTGGGCGTAACGACAGGGGCTGACCGTTAAATTGCGGACACCATTTCTGGTAATTAGCACGTCATCTTCGAGCCGCACACCTCCTACGGATTTGTATTTCTCAATGACCTCGAAGTCCAATAAACTGAAGTCGGAGCCGAGGGAAACACATCTAGTGGTGAATAAGTTAGGAAACACTTTACATGCAACTAACACGTGTGTGTAGAAGCTAGGCAGTAGTTACTGCATGCTTTCCTGCGAGGCGCTCACTGCGCTTGGGAAGCATTCTTGGCGGCTTGCTTCAATAAGTGGTCCACAAAGTAGCATCCTGAGTGGAGACCGAATGCGGAACAGGAGGAACTGGACTTTCCTTCCTCAACATTCGTTTCTGTCCATTCGTCCAGCCATACCAACAGATATGGAACAACGAGAGCAGTAGTCCTGCAGAAGCTGAGCTTTCGAAAATCTGTGCTACCCCTGACCTTACCTGGTTCAACAGTAATACACATGCCTTCCTCCAAGGTCCTGGTCGTGCGAAGGTATCGGAGACCAGGGAGGTCACTAGGGGGAGAAGATGGAGTAAAGCCTCCTACATCATGAGTGTCCATACCCATAAAGTGACCCAGGCCATGCGGCATGAAGATAGACCCCAAATTGGCGGCTACACAGTCCTCTAGAGACCCAACGAGAATTCTTAGTGACTGAGAAGTGTGCAGTAAGGGAGAAAACCACAGCAAAAATTGGCTAGAATGCGTCATTGTCCTGTACTCCTCCCTTTGAATCGACCCACAACAACGCGTATGATATGCACAAAAACTAAAAGGATCAGTGCTTCAAGTTGCTCTAAACAATTTCCCGGAGCTGTGCAGGCCGGGGCAAAACGTTGCTAAGGCCCACTGAACTGAATCAACGGTACTGCTGGGAAGCACATTTCACTACCACCACGTGTCGTTTCTGACCTTGAGATGTTTAAGAATAACCAGCTCTGCTAATCTATGAAGCTCCGTCCACTCCACGCCAGGACGCATGCGCTCAATCACGCTATTCTGTGCATCTAGCACTGCTTCATATATCGCCTTTTGAGTTTCTGTGAAAATTCCGTTCGAAGGATACGTGAGCGTAATGTCTGTGGCGTAGCCGTTGTAATCTCCACCCTAGAAGCGTACCAGACAATGCCACATACGCGTTCTATGTCTACAGTCAGCACAGTGGGCAGCCTTGTGCAACTAGGAACAAGCCGTACTGCTCTGCAGACCCTGCTTTATGTGCCCTTATATTCATTAAAGCCTGGGTCTCCCCATCCACTTAAACACACGGTAGCTCAACAAAGTAACTGCCCACCATATCAAATAGCAGCAAATCGTTGTCTTTAATAGATCCGTCGTTCGGACGGCCAGCATGACCGTAATGGAGGATGGATGCGTTCTCTCCAGCACTTAGCAGATGCACAGCCACAATGCAAATCAATGAGCACAGCTACTGCAAGACACATCAACACTAAAAGAAGACGTGACAAGCAAACGGGCGAGTGCTTGTACGAATGCATTACCTTCTAAATTTGTTCAAAGATGGTATGTCTGCGCACAGATAGATGGCAATGCCTAGCATTCAGAGATTTTGCAGACAGCGGAAGCTCACCAGCAAATACAATCATAAGCCACATGTCGGGCTCCCCCTACAAAACCAACATAGGCCTTGAATATTGCTTCTGCTTGTCCCTCTACCATTCCGGGCCGAATATTCCGTGCGACAAAACAGTGGGCTTGGGATGAGCATAGGCAGGCAGCGGCCAAGTACTCAGCCTCAAGAGGCGTCTGCAAGTTGAGCACAGAAGCTTGCCGTGTAGAACTCAGTTCAGCTGAGAAGCTTCAACTTCAGAACCAAGGCAAACCATCACGCGAACCTAAATATCAGAGAATCCCTTCACGCTGCAGGCGTGGAGGAAGCTTCAGCTTCTGAGCATTCTACAAAAGGTCCTAATTCGGACAGTGCAAACGACTTCAGCCAGACGATAAACCACTGATAAGGAGAGTTAGAGGCGCGTCCTGAAGTGGGAGTTGTGCTGCCATGACTAGGAAATAAAGGCTACCTTGCAGAGTCTGCATTCCACAAGAATATCATAAAGAGCTGAGCAGTCAACTGTGAAAGATGAGAAACTATTGAGAGCCTTCGGAGGTGCCACAGGCCTTCCGCTGTCAGAGTTGACCCCTTTCAGCACGTGGACCGTTCGTACACCTCGTCTCTGCGAAAATCACAGCGCAAAGAGACGTCTCATTGGAAAAACGACACATATTCGCGGCCGTGCGTTCGTGCTGCTCCCTCTTCTGTCAATGCCTCGTGCTCTGCCTCAGACGGAGCCAACAACGCTGCACCATGCAGTGCACTCGAAGAAACAGTGGTGCCGACAAACGTCCGCATGAACAAGCGTCAGGAGAGTCGACTGCGCTTCTGACCTGCAGCTCTGCCTCCACGTCGCTGATCGCTTCCACCGCAATAGCATCTGTTACTGCATAGCGGCTGCGGTAAAAGTTCGCATCTTTCGGAGGGCCCATGAACCTGTGAACAAAGTGGGGCTGTTACAAGCACTTTGTTTCAGTCTGGTGCATACCAAATACATGCGAAAAGCGGATCTGGTCACTAACGTGAAGAAAAGCACCTGAGGGCATCTGCCGGTATCTTTGGTATAAAGAGCAGGAGCTCGTGTGAGCTTAAAACAAATGCCGCATAGATGTCAGGCTCATTTACTCCGACTAAATGCTGAAAGAATGCCTCCTGCCTGAAGGCCGCCTTGTTGCAGTCAGCTGAGGCAGACTAACACATGCCTGTTGCTGATCCGATGTGCGGTAGGAATTCTCTGTCCTGGCATCAGCAGCGCCTGTAATTCCAGGCCAGACTGTCTCTGCCTGCTGCCGCGGGCTAATACAACGTGCGTTCTCACTAATAACACCAAAACTGATAGACAGTAAAAAAATGCTCGGAACGGTGATCACACATGGCTGTGAGACAACACAAACTGCTACTGGAGAAAAAATACTGACAAGAGTATAGCATCCACTCATCCGTTGTTCCTCCTTCAAGGAAAACTGCCGCCCCCGGCTTTGCAAGACCCCTCTCGGTTACAACCCTCAGAAACTGTCGCCTGACCTGAAGAAAAAAGCTCAAAACTTTCGAACGGAGAAAAGCAGCTCGCCACAATGTTCAGGCAGATGCAAACGCCGTAATCTGGCGCTGCGTAAAATTTTCCCCTACGCCATGGCAACTTGAACACAGCAGTCCGAAAGGCGCTGTAAAAAGGGCAGCAGTTCCTTCGTCGTTTTCGCATCCACTTGTTTCTGGTTGAATAATAGCAACTGGAACACGCTTGAGCGCTAACATTGTGGAACGTACTTCTTCAAGTTTTCCCCTGTGAATGTCTGGGCTTGTTAAGTACTCCCTTAGGATAGTTTGGTCATGAGATAACCTTAGTCCCTCCCATGTAGTGGGCCACCCAAGCCACGGCTTGCTTTTGTTATGATTCTTTTCCAGTAGTTCGTTCAGCCTGTCATGCAGGTCCCTAAGAGGGGATTCGGAGGCCATTGGGCCCACATTTGCTGTTGAGTTCATCCCAGTACTCAAGATTCCATTTATAATCTAGTGGACAAACCAAGGAGTGCAGAATGAGCCAAGACGACCCTTATGAAACGCCGAAAAACGAGGGCCCTCAAAGAACTACAAAGAACTACCCTAGGAGTAGACAGGACGCTAAATAAGTCCCATCTGACGAACACTGTCCGTTGCCTTGTCAAGTGACTATTTTCCCTAACTAATACTATTAGGTGCTTAGACAGAAGAGGCCGAGCTCGTAAGACAGCTACTCGTCTTCTGGTTTAGCGGCGGGGCCCTGCATTTACAATGCAGAGCCCTGCAAGCGTCCAAACTGGCGTGCTGAACGTTTATTTCACAGTTTAATGTAGAAAATGTCATGGAAGCATCGAATGCTGCTTACACCAAACGCTTCACTAACCACTTACTAGAGCAACATCACTGCTTTTGCGCTTGTCGTCCCACCCAACCCAGAGGACCGCGGGAGGGCGCACTTCGCAGGAGGATATCCGATTCAGTCGTTCTCCTCGAATCATAACGCAAAAATGACGGGAAAAGAGGCGGACTTTGCTGGGCTGACATTACAGGAACTCCTGGACCGATTGTCCGTACACGCAGATCTAAGGTCTGCGCTTCCAAAGCTGTTCGAAGCTTGCGGTAAGCAAATGTTTCCTAAGCACGCCAGACTATGCGCCTTATTTGTGCCCTGGGCGGGACTGAGGGAATAGGAGAACATGCAGGCGCAGACGATGCCTTCTGGGTTATTTTTCAGTTCGTGCCTTTGTGTTTGTATGCGTTCATCGTCCGTGTACCGGGGAAATCAAAGGGTGTATAAGCAAGGCACTGCGTTCCACGAAGGTCACTAAGTCGGGCACCAGCAACAGCTTTGGAGAGGAACAACTCTCCGTTGACCTTTTGGCGGAGCGTCAGCTAAGGGATTGGGCAAACAGATGCTCAGTCGTTAGAGCCATTAGCAGTGAAGAAGAAACAGCGTTACAGGTTAGCAACTATGTCCCTAGGTTGTTCTCTCCCCACTTGCCGTTAGGCTTGTTTTCCTTTCGTGCTCGAGACCGAAACCGCTGGTTTGGATACATTGTTGATTACCGACGAAACGGGCGTTGCGCAAAAAGCCATCAAATATTTTATCCCTGCCTCTTCAAAGCTCTTTCCTGGTATTCAGGAAGTTAATGCTAATGGATCGCTTGTCGTCTGTTGGGACCCGTTGGACGGTAGCAGCATAATTGACTGCAACTGGAGCGTCGCATCGATCTTCGGCATTTGGCGAATCGGAGAAAACGGACTGCAGTGGAACGGACCAGATACGCTCATCAATTCCACTGGTGGGAGTCTTCCTCTGCTAGTGCTTGAGTACAACAGTCGTTGTTTTTCGTGCCTACTATGTGCTGCCCGCTGCCAGCGCTAGACAATTGTTGAATTCTATGCGCAGCGTGTTGAAGACTGCCGCAGCAAGATATTGAATTAAGCGGCAAGCGTCCACCTAGGCGTGTGTTGCCTGATGCAGGCCGTCAGCAGGTGGCTGCGGTGCTGGTTATATACGGGCCACGAACAACTGCTCTGCTGTCTCTATGCGGCATCACTGTTGACCTTCAACTAGATGCAGAAGGTGGAGCACCTGTTATTTTGAGGGGCCCTTGTTGCATTAAGAAGAACGGAGCGAAAATATTCTCTCCTGCAAACCTTAGAGCTGCGCAGGATCTGCCGGCCTATCAGAAAATGGTGCAACAGTGGATGGAGAAAAAGTACACACTCAGATACACAGGTGTGTAATGCTTAGTGTGTTTCTCAGGCAAAGATTTCAGGAGGAGGATAGTGAAGAACACAGTTCAATTCGATGTGCTCACTTGCATGCACTTTTGAGAGGCCGGGCGCTCGCATGTTGTCTTTGCTTTCTGCTGCCAGGTGGCCTCGGCCCGGACGTTTATCAACTGTTTGTGAAGGGGCACGGAGTGTTCTGCAACCCGGCAAGCGACGGAGCTCCGGCAAAACTCCGCCTTGCATTTGAAGTAGCTCCTATTGCATTTATTGTTGAGGCTGCTGGGGGGCGTTCGAGCAACGGCAAACGCTCAGCGCTTGATGTGGTAGGGTCAGGGTCGTGTTCACATGGGTTCATTAGCAGTCTGCGGTATTCTGCGGCGGAATGAGCCTGGAAGCCTGTGTTAAGACGAATCGAACGGAGATGTACTGCCAGGCGTTGACAACTGGTATCTCCTATTCGCTGTGTTTCTTGGCGTGCTGCTTTCAGGCGCTTGAAACAATGGACCACCGCACAGCATTCTGCTGCGGGACGGAGGAAGAAGTCATAAATTTCGAGGCATCTCTGCGTTCCTGAAGATTCGTCATACACGTAAAAAGTAAATTTGTGTGTAGCATATTGTCACTTGTTTTTATTGAAGTAAATGTATTGCTCCGCCTGCATAGAGATGCGCAGCAGAGCGTACCCACGGTGCATCTGACTCCGTGCGAACTTCGCACGGCAACTGGAAACTGGTTCCCAGTACAACTGGCATTCCTGTATACGGCTTGTTGTCGCGCCTTCTGTGAATAAGAGCTGTGCGTCAGCCACCGGCAAAGCTGTGACTGGCCACGAGAGGCGGCGTCGTTGTCGCCAACCTCCACGTTGCCGATGACAGAAGCATAGCTGTGCTTCTTTTGTGTACAAATTTTGGTAGCGGGCAGCCGTATAGAGTATCAGCATCCGCTTAGCTACAATGGGTCTTGCTGGGAGAAAAGCGCCCATGGAGGCCGAGCGCACCCCAGAAAGTGACCATCGGTTGAAACAAATGTTACTCAGTGGACTTATCTATGTTCCAAAGGGCCTCTCGAAATTATCGCGAGAATTCAGAAACAGGGGCCTATGCAGCTGACCGCATACACCACGTGGCAAAAACTCTCAGATTCGGTTTCTACTGTTTCCCAGTAGCCGTGTGTTGCTTGCAGCAACTATTGTCCAAACGGATACCCGAAACGAGTTGTCCTGAGGGGTTGGAGCAAGAAAAAAGCGTCTATACAGTTGGGCAGTGCTTTCTAGTGAAGTGCACTGGAGAGCACTTCGGGGGGCAGCCAACGCCTTAAGCCCCTATTACCATGTAAAAATTAGGAATTTCAGGCCTGGTGTTAAAAATTTTTGCGTCTATGGTGGTTCTTCAGCAGCATGCAATCGACTTCCTCTTCTGGGTCTTTTTGGATTGTGCATTTTCCACCATAGAAGGCGGCGTCGGTATTTCCTTCTTTATGGCTTTACGAGCTTCAGCTGCCTCTGGAAACCCTTGCATCGCGATGTGGTAGCCTTGTGGCATTCCACTACCACCAGCTGTATTGTAAAACGCGAAATCACTGCCAAATGCGTGGCAGAATGTCTGCATGTTTGGGTCCTGGTAAGGGAAGCCCAAGCTTCCAACAGCGGGTTGGTAGAGCGGGGGTGAAGTAGTGGGCACATAATCGTAGGCTGGCATAGGATCGAATTGGTGGACTTCGATGTCGTCGCTATGGAAGATGTGCTCACTTGCTGACGGAGCGCAAGTCTGCGTCGGATCCGGGCCGCCTGCGTAGTACGCCATGTTGCTCACATTGCTGTTACCTGAGCGTCGAAGGAAAAACGCAGCGAAGCAGTCCACTCTGATTACTCATAGCTGGGCTCAACTGGGCTTCCGAAGCGGCGAAGCTGCAGACTGAAGGCCTAACTGCCAGCTCTCTGGACCCACTGAGGGTGTACTAAGCCTGAAAGTGCGTGCATGGCCATATGACAGTCGAATACTTGTGAGTGAACGGGATTTAAACAAGAGACGTTTAATACTGCAGTAAGGCATCTAAAACCGGTCCACAGACGTCTTCGCAGCCGTTCCTAAGGAGGAATGAGTGGCTGACGACAGGACTCACCTTGGACGTAGCCATCGGGAGTCAGATACGTCTCGGTATAAGCCGGGAAAGGCGAAGGATATGTGGATTTCTCCATCCTATCTAGTCTTTGGATTTCCGGTCAGTGTTGGTCCACTGCACTCGAGAGTGTAGCTGCTTCAGCCTTGGTTCTGACGAGGCAATGGAATGGGTGCAGGCGAAAATTCCAGCTGTGGACTAGAAAGTATTACTCTGTGTCCTCTCAATTTCGAAACTTTGGGCTTGAAACTAGGTAAAGCTGCAAGTGGTAGAGTAACACTTGCAAGCCCAGAGACCGTTGCAGTACTGCGAGCCACACAGCCGCGCCCTGCAGAACCACGAACCACCACCACTTCATCCCTTCTCCTTGTACGCTGTCCTGTTGAAACTTAGTATCCGGCGCAATATTTGCAGAAGGGAGATTCCAGTGGTATTTCTACACCACAAACTTTGTAGGATACTGGAGATTTGGTTTATGGGAAGCGCTTTCCAGTGCCTATTCAGGCTCGCGCGGCGGCGGCGCCTACTCGTACTCCCGTGCAGGCTGCAAGAGTTCTTGTGGATCCCAGTAGCTTTAAGTTTCCTTTTTATGTCTGGGAGATCTTTTCAACAGAATTTATCAGCAAGTTAGACTTGCCTGATCATTCTATATCGACCGTACCGGCGCGTAGCTGCCGAGGTGGCGTGGACCACTCGACTCACCATTCATCATGCATGACGTGTCACACCAGGTATTCTACAAGTGCTGTGCATTAAGCCTATATTGCATGTTTAAACTACTTCGCATAGGCATCAAGGCTCAGACTATGAGCAAAACCTATCCTCACGCAACAGCTCGAAGACCCGAGACTCGCCCTGTTGCCTACGGGCTCTTGGGCTCTCCGGAATGCCTCTACGGCCGGCAGTGCGAGCGACTTCTTGAACCTGAATTTAACGAGCTGTCTCGAGCTGCCTTACTGTGTTTTATGACGTATACCGTACAATGTATAGCCAGATACACGGCGATTTACTACGTATACAGTAACTTCGCCCGCCTAGCAGCATCTCGGGCAACTACATGAAAGCAAAGCGCAAGGTCATACGCAGCTGCTTTTGACAGTGCACAGGAAAATAGCAAACGGCCCAATAATTCGCGGGTAGCACACAGAACTTCGCACCTGCCTCAAGGATCAGTAGGCATCACGTAAACAAGAGCATTTTCCGCATCGAAGCAAAAGCATTCATGCGCAAATGTGCTCTTGTGTGAATGCTCGCTCCACTGAACAAGATGCTGCACTGTACAGTTGAATACTACAGCGCATTAATGCTTCGTAGACCTTTCTGGAGTGCTGTGGTGTACTGATTGATCGCCTGAATACACATATACACTTCAGTGACGCAAAACCAACAATTTAGTGACGGCTGGCACCAAAACGGATGAATTTTCACCACGGTGGCGTGCTATGGGGAACCCTATCAACATAGGCAGAGTTTTATGCTCTGAGGCGATTTCTTCATCAAACAGGGGCTAAGTGGTACACAACATATTTCGGCACTATATTCTACGTGCTACTTTACTACACACTGCTAAGTGTATACAGACAACCATGATTTGTTTCCGTACCTGTATGATCTCATCGTCCGACTGTTCCCTTGCCTGCGTGGCGAGGGCCAATCCGTTCTTAAGGGCCATCAACTCTTCCATGATAAAGGCGTGAAACTGCTCATGTGCCTCGTCCCCCCTAATCAGACAAAGAAAGTCACAACGATTTGTTCGTCTACTCAGCGCAACGCAGCGGGGCTCTCCACCGAGATGACTGCGGAATAGCACCCCTGCATTTAGCAATTCACTTTTCAATGCATTGACAGCGCGGGTTCGACAAAAGAGAATTCAATTCGGGAGTGCAGACTTGGTGGAGCAGAGACGAAGTATACACCTACTTGACAAGCCTCTCGACTTCTCTTTTTATGAGATTGAGCTGTTCCTGTCGGACAGCAATCTCAGCCTCAAATTTAGAGTCGACAAGAAGCTGCATTTCCCCAAACTTCTTGCACACAAGACTTTCACGCTCATTTTTGCTCTTCGTCTCTGTCGTAAATGCCTGACGAAGTGCCGCTGCTTCCCGCTGGAGAGATGCGAAATCTTGCTGAGGACGCAAAATGTACACGATTAAATCATCACCTTTTATAGTATAGCCTCATTCTTGTTGGAGCCTGCGGACGTGAGTCTGAATACGCGCGCTCTACAGTTGAGAGTGACCCCAAACTGCAGCACGCGCCCTACCTTAAACAGCTTGAATAGAAGAGCGTGCCATGCAATACATCAGATGTATTCTCGCTTAACGGGCGCATCAGGGAAAGTGAGATAACTGTAGCTCATGTACAGCCGTTGAGAAACTGTGGCACAGTCACTTTGCTTACCGCAAGCTTGCTGGGCAGCTCTCCCTTCATCTGTGCAAGCCCCTTTTCCAGGCTTTCGCATCGTGTTATTAGCATGTCCATCGACACCTGAGTTTTTACGCAATCACATTACATTCGCAAAGCCAGAACGCATGCACAGTGAAGTCCACGCCTTGATCAATATGCTGAACACACTTACGAACAAACTTTCAGAATACTGCAATGTAGTTGGTACTGTTGGCGTGTGTAGCACTATTTACGTACTGCAAGCACAGAAGATTCAAAGTTAGGCTCACCGTAAGGCTTTCTATGTATTTTACTATTCGCAGCTGCAGCCTGTCCAGCATTTCGTTTGCCATCTGCTCAGATATCTGTTGAAGCGCCTTGTTAGCATCGACCCTTCTTTTTATCTCTTGATTCAGGGTTTTCTCAATGGCCACTATTGAGTCCCTAATTTCCTGCTCATACAAATCAAGGGCAGACGCTGAGTACTGGAAGCCATTGCACTGGGTAAAATATCCGTGTTGTCGCAGTGCAGTATCTCGCAATCCAGTTGTTCTAGCTAGCGGACTTGCCTGGTATCTCTGTTCATCTACCTGTTTCCTCTTGCGCGAATCATCTGCAATGGATGTTCTGAAGCCTGCAAATCTTTCGCCTACGGTACTTAGCTGCATGCGGAGCCTATCAGTCTTCAGCTCAGGAAGGACCGCCATTTGCTCTCCCTTATTGACCTACAGTGAGGCAACCCTAGCCCGACTCAGTACGCTTGGGAAGGGACCGTCGGTGAAAGGTCGAACGGCTGACTATTAAATCCTGAATGTTGCAGAAGGCTTGGCGCACCGATAACCCCTCAATATATTGAAATGCAAAACTGATGAGAACACGGCTGCATGATTTTGCGCTACGAGAATATGGTAATCCAACGCCCCGAGTGTAGATGTCCAGGGATCTCCCTGGGAAAGTCACGGGCGCCAGGTCCCCGGGTCGCCGCACCTGCTAGGCGATATTCCACAATTTTGAACGCTCGGAATAGATTTCTAGCCAAAATATAATTCTTTTTCACGGGCTGGAGCTTCGCTGCAGTTGCTTCAAGGGCAAGATGTGCAGACCTGAGCGACCGCAACCAGTGTGGCTCCGCCTAGTGTTGACTGACACGGGAAGGACCAAGGAGCGATCTGTGTACAGCTTTTAAAGTAAGTGAAAAGCTGCACACTTGAACACGAAGTATTTTTAAAAAGGCTATTGCCGAGTTTACTTTGCCGCAGTGGCAAGACAATGGATTGCCATGAGGCCGCCGCCGACGGACAGCCCCATGAGCCAGTGGCTTTTCCACCGAATCTGAGCCCAGCTGCGTAAAATCCCTTCAACTGCGTCTATGCTCCAAAAGTTTTGCAATTACGCTATACTGGGCAACTGAAACCCTCGCAGGCGTGCCCCGGTGCAACGCCGTGAGCGCTCCCCTTGCAGCGTTACTTGCATGTTTATGCGCACTAGAACAGCAGTTCTGAGTCTTTTCGAGAGGAACAACGTACACACAATCTCAAGAGACCCGCTACTTGAAAGCCCATAAAAGTACTGGAAGTCCACCAGTGCACTACAGGATACACGCTACATAGTAATCATGAAGTAACCCCACAACCAAATCTGCTCATTTGAGGACGCTATAGAAAACTTTGTCATCCCCATGTCCGGACACTTTCAAGCCACCCGGACTGAGTACCAACAGGTTCACGGGTCCCTCAAGATCAGCACCCCAACAGGTAAAACACACACAGACACAATAGTGACGAGCTATGGACTAATCCAAGAGTTCGACTTTGCAGATTTTGGAAGCATCACCCAGACGGGGAAACGGCAGCCGCGTGCGTCTACAGAATCCGCTGTTCCTCCTTGCGAAGCGTTCTCGGGCCTGTGTCACGAATGTTGCACATTGCTGACGAAAGACGCCGAAGTGCGGCACGTCCACCAGCCATAATTTAATTCACCAACCTTGACAAGCACAGGTTCTAATGCGTCAATACGTTTTACGGTGTATGCACGTGATACGGTTGTGTCTATAATTGTTGGCAGGGGCTATGGCAGTTTTCCATTAAGACGGAGCTGCTTACATGCTTGAACAGCTCTCTCGTCAGTTTCTTGTCGTAGAAGAATCCGAGAGCCTGACGGTAATTGTGAAGTCCCCCCTTTTTCGCTAGAATTAGCTTTGCGTCCATTACACGACACAGTTCTTGGCCCTTGGCCGCAGTCGTTGTAATGCTACCATGCCTTAACAGCTGCGAATAATACAAACGCGTCACTTATCGCCATTGTGTCACTACGGTGTTCACGCATCATAAGGCAACGTACAAATGCACTGCTGGCCGGTAGCAACACGAAGGACCAACGATGGAGCTAAATCCACATACACAGCGAGTTACCGTGACATGGGCAAAAATGGCTTCCACATGAGCTTGCCTGAGTAGCAAGATTCCTTAAAAGAGCCTTTCTATGTGATTGGGGCCTCCCCAGTCTGCTGTGGGACCGATGGGTGTGCGCCCTCATGACCATACACAAGGCAGAGCCATGAGCTACTGCCTCTATACGCGGATCTCGCCACATTGGCAATGTCGTTGCACCTTTGCAGCCTTTTACGTGAGCCTGTGAGCTCAGATTGCCCCATGGTGTGCAGTGGGTCTTGGCCAGCCTGTGGTCGTCTGTGAACGGGGAAGAAAAAGGTTGGGCGTCCCGTCCCCAGGATCTACGGTGGCTATTATGCAGTGGCACACCTATGAAGTTTCTGAAATTTCCGTTGACACTGCTCCTATTAGGCACTGAAAATGTGGTCAGCAGAAATGCGGCCGGAAAGCCATGACCCGTGCAAGCGCAGATGGCACATGCGGTCGGTGCATCGATCCTATTACGAAGAAATATTGGCACTGCTGATGAGACGCCGCTGTAGCACGCCGACAGGACTACCAGCAGCAGCATAAACTGCTGCTGCCTCTGCAGATATTGCTGCTGCGATTGACGCGGAGCCCATCCCCTGAGAAGCTTCCCCATCTGGAACAACACATGCCCGCCAACACCTTGGTGCTAAGATGCCTGTGCAACCTAGTGCGTTGCTCATGGAGCCGTAGCCGCAGGCAGAAGCGACGGTTCAGACAGAGACCATTGCAAGGGGCCCCTAGGCGGGGCCCCCTTAAGCGTGTCTAGAGAGCACAGCGAAGCATTTTGACCTTTTGTCCTCTGAAACTTCAGCTGTCGAAGCCTTCAGAATGCAATACAGGAAGAAATCACGGTTCTAGAGAAGGGAAACGTCTTACATGAATGATGTCCTGGTGCAGTAGGGGCTGTGGCTTGTGGACGCTCGAGATGCTGCGCCTACGTGAGGATTACTAGGGCTAAACTTTTAGTATCTCTGCTCATTCGCTGAAATAATTAGCTCAAATTGTGCATTCGCACAGCTAACTGGCATTATTATTCTGCTCGTAGCTCCGGGACTTGTAAACAAATGTGTAGGGTCACTGTTGGGTCTGTGGGGAGCCTTTGGTAGACGCCTAGTATACATCACATCAGGCCGATGCCAGTAAAATGGAGCTGGGAAAAACACAGGGCTGTCAACAGACCCCTTTATAGTTTGTAATAATTTCAAGAGTAGCCCATTGACAGCATTCTCTTGCCGCCCGCGCCATGCCTCGGCAGGGCCACAACCAGATGTTTTTTTGGATCAACATATTCTTTTTTTTTGTTAACTTTCCTCATCATTATCTCTGTTTCAATTAATTGCACTCATGGTATGACTTTCTTGTGCAAGGAGTAGTAAACAGTCCGCACCAGCAATAATGCTGATGGTACGTTCTTTATTTAGCATTGTGTTGCCTATCAAGATTCGACAGCGTGCGAAATTTAAGTAGTTACTTAATATTCAACGCCACTGTAGACCATGATAGAGTCTGACCTCCCTGCTGCGACGAGGCATGCCAATATTGCTTTTATGGCCTCACCGTTGCGGAGCGTGATTCCGTTCTATTTTATCGAAAGTATAGTTTTCTAAGGAAACACTTTTTTTGATGGATCTGCAATTGCCACACTAGACAGGAGTAGTGTTCGCAGTTACAGATTCCATAAAGATGTTCTCGGAGGGGGGACGGGGCTCCACCTCTTGTAGGGCTCGCCTTCTAGCAGTGGCTGCAGCTAAAAAACCTCGTCCCTCCTTGAAGCCGGCAAAATAGCTTTGAAGTCACTAGCCTTAATAGGCTAGGCTGCTTCGGCTGCTTCGTAGCTACCCTTCCAGCGTGATCTTAGGCACCTCCCAAACCGTTAGCAGCTACAACAACGCTTCAACTTCCTTCCATGTTGATAGGTCTCGGCCTGTTGTTTCGCAGCCGCAGTCCCAATAGTGCTTAACACTGCAATATCCGCGCTAGCATCTGTTGCCTACTGCAGCCAAGCGCGCGTTTGCCCAGCCTTTCATAATATAGTTTGTCTGTGTACGTATTGAGCCTTCCCCGGTAAACGTTTTTTTCCGTGCCTTCTGCACATGTCTCGCAAACCGTTCTCTCTGAAGTTTCGTCCATTGCCCTGGATTTGGTCTCCCATGGATGGCTGCACGCTATTGGACTGCGAGCTACATCGAGCCTCGCCCTGTGATTGCTGTTGGTGGGCCGGGAGCCGAAGCTGCCGCTATTTTGGCTGCAGTTGTTGCTGTTGCACGTGCTGCCTTAGTATTTGTGGTTGTTGTTGTAACTACGATCGCGACTGCGATTTCAAATACCACTTGTTCTGTTTCTGTGCTGCTGCTGCTCGGTGGTAGTGCATTCACAGCTGTGACTGGATTTTTGCTTGCTGATGTGCTTGTCATTTCAGTTTGTTGTTGCTGCTGTGGCTCCTGCGGTTGCCGCTGCTGTGACTGTTGGTCTTTCTGTTGTAGCTATTGTGGCCCCGGTTTTTGCTTTTACAGCTGAAGCTGCATTTGCTGTTTTAGTTGTAGCTGCTGCTGTTTCCGATGCTGCAGCTGTACTGTTGCTCTTGCTATTGTTTCTGCTCCTTCTCTTACTACTGCGCTGGAAGTCGCTATTTCCGCTGTCGCCACAGCTGCGACGCTCTACCTTGTGCATCTGCTGTTCCTCTTCTGGTGTTGTTAAGGCTCTTCCTCATTAGGCGAGATCTCTTCATTTGTGCATACGTCTCCACGCTGTCTACCTTCGTGAGCCAGTCTGTCTAAGGCTCATTATTAAACTATTCTGCTAATTGCAACCACTTCTACTACTGGCTGCTGCTCACACTACAATAGCTTGCAGCCATCTCTATTTAAGGAGACCAAATCCAGAGCAGTAAATTTGGTGCCACCCAGGCTTAATTCATGTATGCGTGTGACAATTCCTTTCTAGCATGCAGTCGCTTAGTACTTATGACTTCGTGCAAGCCTGCTCTACTTTATTTGATTGTATCATTTATTCTAAAGCGTTATGTTCACTCTTTTCGTCCGAATCCATATTTTTCTCCCGTGACTGGATGTATTTGCTACTAATGGTTGCCATTATTTTTCTCCCGTTAGACAATTTTTGTTTGTGTGTGTCTGGTTTGACCACTATTACTACGGGGTTTTCTTCTTATTCCGTCCCTGACCTCACTGGTCTGTGCAGTTGTATGTGCACAATTGCTTGCTGTATTGATTACGTTGCACCGATAGCTGCTTGTTAGATCTGCATGCATGTGGAGGTACAAATGCGCGGTCATACTCCCTCTTTTGTTGGCATTCGCTGGTCTTGCTGCAGAGCCGCTAATATGCGCGAAACGGAACGAACACCTGAAAGCAACTCTGGTGTAACGAGAAGGGAAAAGGGAAGCTGCAGAAGTTCGAAACGGGAGCAGAGAGACATTCGAAGAAAGTGGGAAACATGAGCATAGTAGGTAGCAGAGGTAGCGCACAACGGTTCGAGCGCGTGGGTAAGGCCCGCCAATAGCTGCATATCGAGCGGTTCCTAGCTCGCAGGAGCGCACATCACCCGCTGTGGCTATTTGCTGTCTGCAGCATGGTCCATTCCTCAGGTAGGTCTCGCCTCCCAACAAGGTACTGAACACCGTTTCTAATATTCTGCCGTTCCAGGATATTGTAGATCTCACACTGGTCTGTCCTTCTGCCAACAGCATCCACGACGAGAAGCCAGCCAACGGCACCTTCCTCGGCGACAAAGGGAGGGTGAGCCAGGGCGGCGTGGAACGTACTGGGACAAGCTGGAGGAATCATGACAAAAGTCAGTCTACGGGTATGCCAAACGTTAGGCAGCGTTGCTCATGCGTTTTGTGGCTGCAAATTAGCACCGATAGAAAGATTTCAGCTCGGGGTAATTGCTGACAGTTGTTGTGGTAGCTTCTGATTCATACTTTGTCCACAGCAAAGAGATCGCTGTCACATTATGTGGAGTTTATCTATGCATTTGTTGCCACTTAGCTTGACTGTAGAGCTATTCGTTCCGCTTGATCATGGGGAGTGTGGCAGCACGGACGAAAGCGCCAAGATCCGCTACCGTGAGGTGGTTCTGCTAGGTCATCACGGCAAAGGGTGAGAGGTCGGTGAAATACCGAGTAACCTTGAATGCTAGTTTGAAAATACGGCGTAGGCACGGCGGTCCCAGCCCTTCCAACTGAATCAAATTGTGGAGAACATGCACCAGATTACGGTTGACGTGTTCGGTTCATCAGCCCAGTCTAGTTGAGACAGAAAGGAGGCATACACCGCTCAAAATTTTGAGAAATGTCGGCAGGGACTCGACAAGAAGCGATGGCCTTGATTAGAAACCACTGCATCACTCGTGATAGCTAATAGTGTGGTCAGCAGGTACCTCGATGGTGCCTGCTGTGGTGCTTGTTTTCTTTGTTAAAGTTGTATTATTCATTGGGCAATATTATCTAGCTGAAGCTGAAGCTAGCTGAGTTGGCAGCAGCTTCACTTTGTAGGTTCTTCATTACAGTGCATAGTTTAAGTTGCCAGGTAAACTAATATTACAGAAGAGCAGCCTTGTTAATTTCTTTTGCTTCTCGGGTTTGTGCTCTGTTTATACGTTGTGAACAGTTGCCTAGCTGAAGTCGCAGCAACCTCACATTTTTGGTCGCGGTGTAACGTTTCAGCTTCGGCTTAAGAAGCTTAATTGAGAAAAGGCGACAGCGACAGAACGTGCATTCGACGTGCCGCCGTATTCCCGAGGTTGTGCTTGCTGTAGAGCTCTCAGAGCCGAACTTCTTCCAGAGCTCCACAGTTTTACTATTTTTAATTATACTCTTTTTACTTAATTCTTTCCCTGGAGATCCAAAACTCACTGCGCATGCCTCTCAAGGCCATTTTTGTGCTCCACTGTATGCAGCACTGCTTTGGTGGCCTGTGCGAGTGTCCAGACTGGCAGTAACACGTGCCTTAATTCACCTTTTCTCGGAGTTACTTCAGACAGCCTTTTAATTTAGATTCAATTTCGTGTCACAAGTGCACGGCTGTTGATTAAACGTGAACTTCCGCAGCTGTGAGGGGCTGGTTTGGCTTTCTCAGATGAGCTACAGCCTTCTCTAAGCTCATTTCACCTCAAGGTGTGGGCTAGCATTAAATCATGTCACTAATGTCTCAGAGATGCACGTGTAGATTGCCAACACCAGATTATAGTGGATTGAGGAGCCTTGAATTGATAC